CCCCCCCGACCCCCTCGAGATTGGCCCGAGATCAGGCGCCCTCACCGCGATGCCGTACGCCGACTGCAACCCTTCCGCCGGCACGGAGGGCGTCGCCATGACTGCCGTCTCGCTCGGGCACACTGCGCCTAGATGCGGCAGAGCCAGGCACGGGAGCCAGACACAGAGCCAGGCACAGAGCCAAGCACGGGAGCCAGGCACGGGCGGCGGTGTCAGACACGGGCGGCGGTGTCAGACACGGGCGGCGGTGCCGCGTGCACGTTTCCCCCCGCTCGCCTCAACCGCGCGCAAGCTGCCGCGAGCGAGCGCCACGCCGGGCCTCATCTCGGCCGATCTGGGCCGATCTGGGCGGATCTCCGACCTAGGATCGCGACCGCCACCGTCGCGTACCTCACCTTCACGGCGGCGCGGCGCGAGGAGCGGCGCGCGAGCGACAAGGGGCGCGGTGCGGCGGGCGGTGGCGGCGCGGCCGATGCGGTGAGTGTGTACGTCGACGGCGAGGCGGAGGGCGAGGGCGAGGGGAAGGGCGACCTAGATGCCTCTCTGCCTCCTCCCAAGGAGCAGCGCAAGGAGCAGCGCAAGGAGCAGCGCAAGGAGCAGTGCCGCTGCACCTCCGCCGCTGCACCTCCGCCGCTGCACCTCCGCCGCTGCACCTCCGCCGCTGCACCTCCGCCGCTGCACCTCCGCCGCTGCACCTCGCTGCCCCACTCTGCTGTCACCAGCCCCTCGCCTCCCTCCCTCGCCCCGCGCTGCCTCACCGCCCCTGCTCCTGCGCCTCACCGCCCCTGCTCCTGCGCCTCACCGCCCCTGCTCGTCGCGCGGCAGGAGAGGCCGCCTCCCCGCGGTGCAGCCGCAGTCGTTCGCAGGCTTCTACGCGGTGAGAGGGCTCTTCCGCTCGCCCACGACACGTCCCCGACACGTCCACGACACGCCCTATGACACGTCCACGACACACGCCCTATGACACGTCCCCGCAGGTGATGGTCCTCATCTCGGTCTACATTGCGATGCTCCTCACAAACTGGGGCGAGCGATGCACCGAGATGCACCGAATGATGCGCCGAGATGCACCGACGCGCCGCCCCGCGCCGCCGCCGCTCCCGCCACCACCGCTCCCGCCCGACCCGCGCCCGCCGCCGCCGCAGGGACCGAGCACTATGAGGAGGCAGGCACAAACGGCACCGCCACAAACAGCACAGCTGCGGAGGACGCCGAGGCGCCTCGCCCCCCCGTCTAGAGCCCCGCCTCGCCCGCTCCCCCTCACCCCTCCGCCGTCGGCCCGTGTCGTGCAACGCCTCGCGCCCCCTCCGCCTCGCGCCCCCTCCGCAGGCGCTCCTCTTCGACGAGGGATCGTACAACGCCTCGCTCACCGCGTCGTGGGTCCTGATCGGGACCGGCTGGCTCTGCTCCCTCCTCTACTTCTGGACGCTCATCGCGCCCAGGCTGTGCCCCAGCCGCGACTTTGGCGTCGAGTTGTGATGCGGCGCTGCCGGCGCTGCCGGCGCTGCTGTGCTGCGACCTCTTACGGTGCATGTACTGTGCGGCCTCGTTAGGTCCGAACTCGTCGTTAGGTCCGAACTCTCTCTGTAGTCTCACTCCGCACGCATATATGTCGTACACACACGCCGTCCCCAGAGTCGCCCAAGCACTAGAGCCCCCACAAAACGGCATGTTGACATAGCCGCTTGGGCCACTCCCGGTTACAGTATGTGGGAATTCGGTTCCGAGTAAATTCGAAATCTTGGGGAGCACTTCGTCCGAGGGGTGGCGGTGTGGGGAACCCGCAATTTGCGAGATGCTGAGGCATCTGAAATTGCCCGAAGCGATACGATATCTCCACATTGACGCCATTCTAATTTCGATTGCCTCGAGCATTCCGGCAATCATTCCCAAGATGCATGAAGCAATTCAGGATGCGCGTTGCGCGCGCATCCTGGGAATTGCTTCGAGCATCCTGAATTGCTTCATGCATCTTGGTGGGATGCCTGAGGCAACCAAAGACGCAGTGCACTGCGATGTCCACGACATCCCTGATTGAGCCATTTGCCATTACATCCTGAGATGCTGGCCGGAGGGCGCTGCATCTCAGGATGGCTGAATTGGCGTCGCCATCCCCGAGAAGCGAGATGTGGCAAGCATTTTCAAATGGATATTTTAACCTCAGAGCTCAGTGCTCAGATAAGTAAGACGAAGGCTTCGTCAGGGCGGCTGTCAGGGGCGGCGATCCCCCCATCTACAGATGATATGCGCATCTTGAGATAATATGCATCTAAGATGCGCCCTACTTGGACTGCACACTGTCTTGCCTATGCTCGAGCATCTCTCGATGGTTTTTCAACTAAGATGCCGGAGCATCCTGGGATGCTCGAATCATCTGAAGATATAAGCATCCCAAGAACAAGATGCTTGGCATTTAATGATTAAAATGCAAGTTAAATTATAAAGACTTGAGCGGCGTGTGAGCCCTCGGATCAAAGTTGGAGTGGAGACTCTGAATCTATGCTAATCTCAGCTGCCATGCCTATATGTAAGTGTGACTATTTACTCTGTCGTCTGTGGAATACTACTGATGGCGATTGAACTGGGAGCCAGTGAATGATGGTGGGGGGCACTTAGCCCTTGTGCTAATGTGCTGACTTTACTACAATATGGACGGTCGGTTGTATATGTAAATGTAAGGGGTTCGGCAAAAAAACTCCGACACTGTCGATCGAAAAATTGGAAAAAATCCGACAACGCGCTCATGTTCCTGAGATGCATTGCGCATCCTCAGATGCCACATTGCATCCTGGGATGCATGGACTAACCCAAGATGAGGGTATCATCTCGGCACACTTTGTGCGTCTGAAGACGACTGCAGTATCTGAGAACGGGCTCAAAAGACGCGGGGCACCCATCTAAAGATGATTAAATCTTCTTGGAGAACCCAATCATGTGGAGACACCCGGTGTCCTTAGACGGAAAACGCATCCTAGATGGTGTTTGGCATCTAGAATGCGCATATCATCTGTAGATGGGGGGGTGTCGCCGCCCCTGACGCTTGGAGTGCGGTCATTAACCGATAACCCGGTTCCCGCAGGTGTATTTTATTTTTGCTTGGGGTGGACCTCATCACATGTGTCATGATGAAATTCTGCAAAAACCTGGCCGGCCCCTGCCCTGCCCCTACCTACCTACCTACCTACCCTACTTATGGGAAACTAAAAAAAGAAATCATTGGAATCTGGATGCGTGAAGGTGGGGTACTATACAACCCTTTTCCTGGCTCACAAGCTAAAGATGTTCACGGGCCCCCACACGGAGGCATGGGGAGCCCCGGGTACTCTTTAGCTGTACTCGTCTAGGCAGGCCCAGTGAGGTAGTGCATCTGACTATCCCGGATCCTGCTGAACAAGTTCCTCTTGTAGCTCGATCGGTCACACCGCCATCGCCGTCGGGGAGAGGGGGGACGACACTGCTTTGGCAGCGTGCACCTCGATCCTGTACCGTGTTTGTTATGACCCCCCCCAATGAACACACCAGTGAGGGAGGGCGAGACGATCGAGGGGTCCCGTACCATGCGGAATCGGCCCTATCCAGTGCTCAAGTGCTCAAGTCTAGGCAGGGGTTGGGTACTATACCAACTAAAGTGATGGGTGGTGGTACTCTCCTGCAATCACAGTCCTTCCTGTGACATGGCAGCCACTCTCAGGCCCTACAAGCATCAGATCACCCATTTGGGGACGTTTGACATCGATCATCGTGATTTCCCCGCAAATTTTCTTTTTCTGCTGCGAAAATTCCAGCGTGAAAACAGGAAAAAGACGGGACGGCCCAGACCTACCCTACCTACCCCGTCATAGGTCCACCCAAGGAAAAAGCCGCGGGAATTCTCGCCCGGGTTCCGCCAGCTGGCGGCGGCCGAAACCAGCTCTTCCTCCTCTTCGCCGGCGCTGAAGTTCGTAAATCAGCGCAGAGCGACACAAACTCGTGGAGTTTGCCCATTGCCCAAGATATGACGTCTCAGCCGCAGAGACGCACCAAAACCGCAGCCTCAGGTGGCCGACGCCTCCGCACCAGTGGCGGCGGCGGCGGCGGCGGCGGCGGCGGCGGCGGTGGCGGCGGCGCCAACCGCCTTCGTTTCGCACGACTGCCGCCAAGGCTCGAGTCGAATGCGAGCAAGGCGGCGCCGGACGGCTTTGGCGCTGCAGAGCACGTGCTGCTTATCGGCATCGATGGCATCACTCCGCGCGCGCTCAACGACGCTATCGCTCGCGGCGATGCGCCGTCGCTCGCCGCGCTGCGGTCGCGCGGCGCGTGGTCGGACGAGGTGCGCGTGACGCAGCCGTCCTCGTCCCTCTCGTCGTGGGCGTCCATCCTGACGGGGTCTCCGCCGGAGATGCACGGCGTCCACCTCGCGGCGCAGCTGCGCTCCGAGTACCCCGTCCGGCCTGCGGCCCTAGATGCACACGCACACTCTTGCTCGAGCACACTCGTGATCGAGCACACTCGTGATCGCACTCGCGACGTTATCCGGCTGTCGCTCCGAGAGCCCCCACCCCCCCTCGCCGCAGGCCTGCCTCCTACCCGGAGGGTGTGCTAACCCTGACCCTAACCCTAACCCTAACCCTCGCCGCAGGCCTGCCTCCTACCCGGAGGGTGTGCGATACCCGACGCTCTTCACCGCCCTGCGCGAGGCGCGGAGCGGGGCCCTCTCTGATTCATTACCTAATTACCGCCCTCATTCAGCGCGGAGCGGGGCCCTCTCTCTCCGCTGAGATTAATTCATGACCGCTCCCGCAGGCGCGGCCCCGCCTCTCCACGGCGGCCTACTACTCGTGGCCGCCTCTCAGCTCGCTGCTCGGCCAGGCGGAGCTCAACGTCTCTGCGCTGCGGCCGTGCGGCTCGTGCGACGGGTGCGTCGAGGCCGAGCCGCAGCTGGCGAAGGACCTTTGGTAATCTTGAATGACGGCTCATACCTGTGAATACTATGGAATAGGTCGAGCCGCAGCTGGCGGCCGAGTTCGTCAAGGCGCTCAAGCGGCAGCGCTTCGCACTCTCCTGGGTCTATTTTGACGTCCTCGACGAGTGCGCGCACGCACTTCGCGCGGGCGACCGCGACGCGGCCTACACGCCTCTGCTCCGGACCGCACCACGGAGTGGGGTGCCACCCTCCTCGCCCTGGCCCGCCTCCCCTTATCCGCCGATGCGCTGAGTGAACAGGACCGTTGACGAGTGGGTCGGCCAAGGTGCTGTGAACAGCGTCTCTTCACACCTCTAGCTGTGAACAGGACCGTTGACGAGTGGGTCGGCCGGATCGTGCGCGCGCTGCACGCGAGCCGGATGGCAAAGTCGACTCTCCTCCTCGTCGCGTCCGACCACGGCAAGAGATTGTAGAAGAGTGCAGAAGAGTGACGGCAAGTTTGCCGAGAGCCCGCCGACCGGACCGCCGTCCCACCCCTCTCTTTCACGGCGCCCCGTCGGTCTTCTTTAGGTCGCGACGCGCCGACCGGCCGGTCGCACGGCGGCTTCTCGACTGCGGAGCTGGAGGAGCCGCCGGGCTGCTCGGGGGCGGGGTGGTGCGCCGCGAGATGAGACGCTCTTCCCGCCCCTTGCCCCTTGCAGGTTCCGTGGATCCTGTCGGGTCCGGGCGTGGTGCAGGGCAGCGCTTGCGCGGGTAGCTTCGCGCGCCTGCTCTTACGCGTCCACCCGTGAGCAGGTGGCGGGCAAGGCCGACATGGCCTGATGAATTCACTACCACGTTCGTGATGAATTCATTCACTGCGTGAGCAGGTGGCGGGCAGGCTGACAGTGCCGATCTCGTCCACGGACGCCGCGCCGACCCTGCTGCACGCTCTGGGCGTGACTCCTCCGGTGCAGATGCACGGCCGCGTGGTGGCGGAGGCGTTCGGGGGAGGAGGTGTCGAGGGGCAGAGGAGAGTGATGAGGGCGGAGGGGAGTGAAGAGAGCCGGGGCGAGAGAGAGAGAGAGCAAGGTCAGAGTTGCGGTGCCGGTGCTTGGTGCCGGTGCTTGCCAGCTCGGTCGCACCCCGGCCACACCCAAGGCACTGCCACCACGGCACTGGGCAGGCCCCCGCTCTGCTCCCCCGCGAGGCTCGCACCCCGTGCGTGCGCCGTGCAGTGCCGTGGAGCTCCCGTGCCTCCCCCGTGTGCAGGCGGCCGCTGGCGCGTGGCCTCCCGACCCCTTCGCAACGAGAGCCTCGCCGCCGCGCTGCTGCCGCCCGCCAGCGAGGCCGCGCCCCACTCCGCACCCGGTTCTGCTCGAGATGACCCGAGATGACCCGAGATTGGCCCGAGGCGTGTAGGCGCGCCACTCCGCCCTCGGGTCCACCCTCGGCACGCTTCTGCTCGCGCTGTGCGCCGTGCTCACCCTGCCGCAGGTTGGCCGCGCCGGGCGCGTGAGGCGTGAGCCGGGCCCCTTCCAACCCATCATTTGTGTGTGGATAGGTCGTGCGTGCCATCAAGCGCAGCCGAGGCGTCTCGACCGGGTTCGCGCCCGGCTACGTCCGCGCCGGCGGCGTGATGATGTCGCCCATGCCGCTCACAAGCCCGTGAGGCCCGCGTCGCGGTGGGGCGGCGACGGGTCGGCACGCGAGAGAGGTTGTCCGGCGCGGATGCGTTCCCGCGCCGCCACCACCGTGGTTTTCGTTTTGCAACGATGCGGTGTCTGTGCGGTGAATGTCGTGTCTTATCTTCGTGTGCCGCTCGTGCTCTCGCGCCCAGGATTCAACAATGCACCAATATTCAGTTTCCGATCGCGCCCAATGGGCACAGCCCTGCACGTGTTCGTTTACACTCGTTAAGACAGCAGGCACCCTCCACCCCGCAAATCGCGATGTGTTTGAGTCGTGCGAGGCCTTTGTCAGCTAATCTGCCCCAGCTCAATCGCCCGTGCCTCCGGCGGCACAGCCTTTCCGCGATCGGTGATGAGGCCCAAGTCGCGGCATGTGCGCGTCGAGAGCGCCCGATCGAAGCCCGCCCGCCCCTCCCCGAGGCCCTCGAGCATGCCCTCGACGCGGCAGACGGCCATCTCGTGCTCGCCAAAGGCGCGCAGCCGGTCGCCGTCCTCCTGCACGAGGCGCAGGTACGCGGCGCAGCCCGGAAGCAGCTGCGGCCCGTCAGCGGGCCACGTGCCGTCCGTCACACACTGCTCGGGTGCGTCCACCCAGCCGAACCCAGCTTGGGCGCAGGCGGCAGCCTTGTCGACGTCGGCGCCGGACTGGCCTCCCAGCACGTGCATGAGCCCAACGTGCTCCTCCGTTAGCAACTGCAGCACCCCGCTTCGCCGGCTGGCAAAGTTCGCGTGCGTGCGCGTCGGACGGTACAGAGAGAGCGCCCACGTCCGCGGCGCGATGCCGATCGGCGTCGCGTAGGTGAGGATATGCATGTTGGTCGAGCCGTCGTCGTTGAGGGTCGCGAGCGAGTAGACCGGAGAGTTCAGCACCGGTGGGCCATCGAGCGGGACGAGCACGGCGAGCGCGGCAGTGGTGACCAACCACCACATGGCGAGCTTTCGTGCATGGGACCAAACCTCCTTCGCGTTCGGGTTTTCTTTCTTTGTTTCTCTGTTTCGTTGGCCAACGAGGCTTCGGCCAACGAAACAAAAAAAATCCTCGCCCTCCGCCCGCCCTTGCCTCCGCCCAGCCCTCCGCTCTCCGCTCTCGCCCTCCGCCCTTGCCCTGGCTGGCCTGGGTGGCATCTCCTCATCATCACGCGCCAAGTGGGAGGGAAGTGGACGGGGCCCTGAGCCGACCTAGCCCTAAACGGAATGGGGCGCCCAACACGGTGCCGGATTACTGTGCCTCCCCCGGGTGCAGCCTTTCGGTTCGTGAAGGGTCGGTGCGTGTCGTGACCCCCTGGAACACCCGTACCCCCGCACCATCTCCGTCGCTTGGTTCCATAACCTCTGCCCCCACCGGGAGGCGGCCAGGGCTTCATAGACTCGGTCGAGAGACCCCAGATTGGCATCCATGCCTCTCTGGACAGGGTGGCCCGCCACAACGACCCCTGGAATTGCGACTCGCCGCTTTCCTCCCGCTGTGATTCTGTGTGAGCTCTGTGTCTTGATTTGCCAACAATACCTACAACAATTTCTTTGTTTCTGGCCTTAGCGCTTAGGCCAGCGAGTCTGACGGGTGAACTTGATTTTTTCCGAGGCGGTGTGCGTTGAAGATGAGCGCGCGCGTCACAGCGCAGGCCAGGTCTACACTGGCCGCGGCACCAGCTCCCGCGGTCTGCACGCTAGGAGTGGTCCGCCCTCGCAATGAATGCGGAATACTATTACGAAAAGTACAACTAGTGCGACACACTAGTCAGTCTCGTAATCGCGCCAAGAGCGCGGATACACACACAAACAACAGGCGCGGCTATGAATAGCTGCGCATATACAGATAACGACTGTTCACAGTCGGGAGAGAGAGAGTCGTCTCTAACGCTCCCCCCTAGTTGCATCGGCAACTATCTCGGACGACTCGCGCGTCTTCGGCGAAGGGGTGATGACTCACGCCTTGCCGACGGTCGCGACGAGCTTGCTCCACAGCCGGGCAGCCTGCCCCTGGAGCGTCACAGCAAAGCCGGGGCCGTTGCTGGCGTTGAGCATGTAGTCGCGACAGGTGAAGAACATAGCTCGCGTCGCCTGCGTCTTGGTGAAGACGTCGGCGATCATATAAGCAGTGCCGACGAGGTACGGCGCGACGTGGCGGAGCATGAAGAGGCGTGGTGGCACGTTCGTAGTAGCGCGTGCGAGCAGTAGAGCCGGGCTTGACGATGATGTCAAAGACGGCTTTGCAGTCACCGAGCTGGGGCGTGGGGCCTGCGACAGCTCGGCCAGCGTCCTCGAGCATGAGCCGGCAGGAGACGACTTTCTTGGCGGCGACGGAGGCGGTGGCGGTCTCCTCTTCGGCGACGCTGAGAGCCTCGATCTTGGACTTGTTGGCGCTCCAGTCGATGGCGCCGTTGTTGAACATCACGACGCATCCGCCGTAGTGTGGCGCCTTGCCGAAGGAGGCGTCATGGTAGGCGTGGAGGCCACGAGACTCGATGAAGCCTGGCAGGAAAGTGTCGAGTCCGTAGGGGATCTTGAGCTTTCCGCCGTAGGTGATGCCGAGGTGCTTTGTGGCGTTGAGATAGTTGATGACGGTCATGATGGCGTCACGATGGACGGCGCCGCAAGCCTGAGAGAAAGAGCCGAGCTTCGAGAAGAAGTATACTTGATGTCGGGGCGCGTCATCTCGGCAGGCCACCCGATGGTTCCTAGCGGCTTCAGGAACTCGGTGACGGGGATGCGGTCGCACTCGGCAGCAGGCTCGAGCTTATCGAAGAGGGCGCGCTGGACGTCGGTCGAGCCGGCTGGGGTGGACTGAGCACGAGCGCCAATCTCGTTGCCGTAGAGGGCGGCAATCCGCTCGATGTACCGGGTCTGCCGAATAGTGAGCGTGCGGTTGGCTCGGTCGCGGAGTACCTCGATTCCGGTGAAGACGGAGATGGGGATGATATCGAGCGTCGCAATCTTGATGTACGTTCCATATTCCTCTTTGAACCGGACGTACTGGTCGGTGGCGGAAGCGGCAAAGCCGTTTGCGACGTCGTCTGCAAAAACAACGATGATTAGGCGAAAGGCTGGGTGGCTGTAGAAGTTTGGCTCGGTGAGCGAGGCGACGCAGCCAAGCTTGACGAGGGCGTCCTGGTTGAGTTTGAACCAAAGGTAGGAGCCCTGTTTGATGCCCTCGAGCGCTTTGAGAAGCATGAGCACAAAGCCCTTCTTGACGAACCCGGGTGGCATCTGGGTGTAGATCTCGGCATCGACGTCAGCCTGAGTATATTGATCTCGGAGAGGCTCTCGGCTCCGAAAAGCTTTGAGTTCTCGTTGATACACTCGAGGAGCCGAACAGCGATCTCGCTCTCGTCGTGGCGGTGAGTAGGCGGGCGCTCGGCGTTGACGCGGCGAAGGAGGCTGTGGAGCTTGGTGACAGTGAACCCACTGATGCCAACGTCGGCGCCGATGCTGATCTTTGCCCACGCCGCATCGTGCGCACGGACATCAGAGCGTTGCGGCTCCATGTCCCCAATAGAGCAAAGGTACTGCCACGCCTGCTCCCCCTGCTGGAAGAAGTTTGTGCGAAGGTGGAACTTGATGTCCTTGCACGAAATGTTCTTGACCAGGAGGGCGTAGGCCTGCTTGCGGCGGGTGCGGTACAGGGCTTGCATCTTCTGCGAATGCTGTGCAGCGCCAGCCGGCAGAGGTGGAGCGCCGACGGCGGTTCCTCCCATGTCCGCACCAGTGAAGACATCCGCGACGCTGGAGCCGGATTCGTCAGTCCGCTCCGCACCAGTGTCGAGAATTGCCCTTTTCCACTCCTTGAAAGGATCGCCAGATGTCCCATCCCATTGGATGACGGACGGCATGTCTTTGTCACGGTTGTTGCTAGACATGCTACGTAGTTACCCCTCAGTCGGCTCCACGTTGAAGATGAGCGCGCGCGTCACAGCGCAGGCCAGGTCTACACTGGCCGCGGCACCAGCTCCCGCGGTCTGCACGCTAGGAGTGGTCCGCCCTCGCAATGAATGCGGAATACTATTACGAAAAGTACAACTAGTGCGACACACTAGTCAGTCTCGTAATCGCGCCAAGAGCGCGGATACACACACAAACAACAGGCGCGGCTATGAATAGCTGCGCATATACAGATAACGACTGTTCACAGTCGGGAGAGAGAGAGTCGTCTCTAACGGTGTGCCCGGTTTGGCGACACGCGACGCCTAGGCGACGCGCTACACAAGCTTTTTGACGCGCTACACAAGCGAGGCGGTGCCCGGTGCCCGGCGCCGCACCTGTATCCAGGGTCGATCCTCAATGGTCCCTCTCATCGACGCGGCCGCGCTCGCATCCGCCGAGAGCGCATCCGACCCGGCGGTCGTCGCTCTTGACGCCGCGTGCATGGAGTCGGGCTTTTTCCGGCTCAGCAGCGCCGCCGTGCCGTGCTCGCTTGTGGAGGGCGCTCTCGACGCGGCATGCGGCTTCTTCGCGCGGCCGCTCGAGGAGAAGCTGCGGCACTGCGGCTCGGCCGCGACAGGGTGGAGAGGCTACACGCCGATGGGCGGCGGCCACAACTGCTCGCCAGCCTCGCGGCAGCCCGAGCGGAAGGAGAGCTTCTACTGGGGAGAGCCGGACACCGACGGTGATGCGGCCGCGCCGCCAGCCGCAGAGCTCGCCGCCCTCGACGCCGCGGCGCGCGTCTTCCACGCGTCGATGCTCGAGGCGACGCGGGCGGTGCTGCGCGGCCTCTCGCTGGCGATGGGCATGGCTCCATCCGCTCTCGAGGAGCGCGTCTTCACCGCGCCGTCGGCAAAGGTGCTACTGGTGGCGTACGACCCGGTGGAGAGGTCGGAGCTCTCGTGCGGCTCCCACACCGACTGCGGCTTCCTCACGATGCTCTGCTCGCGCGGCGGGCGAGGCCTGCAGGCCGCGCCTTAGATTGCCCGCGGGGCTGCAGGACAGCAGCCGCGCCTTAGATTGCCCGCGGGGCTGTTTGGCCAAAGGACTGGGACGCGAGGGAGATCCTGGCCCTCGCCAGACACCAGCGTGAGGAGAAGTCTACCGCTCTCAGCCTTCGCGGGCGCAGGTGCGGCGCCGCGCAGACGGCACATGGCTCGACGTCGACTCTGCGGCTGCGGGCGGCGGCGCGGCGGCACACGCTAGATGCACCATAGCACGAACCCGACACGGCACTCGCGAGGGGGCGAAGACGAGGCTGGCGCACTCGCAACGCAGGCTTCGCCGACTTTCGTGTGCAACCTCGGCGACCTCGCTGCGAGGCTGAGCGGCGGCCGCTACGCGAGCACGCCGCACCGCGTCCTCAACGACTCGGCGGAGCGGCGAGTGGCGCTCGTCTTCTTCAACAACCTAGACGAGTCCGCGCCGTGCGACGTGGCCGTGCAGGAGCCGGGCGGCGGAGGCGGCGCAGCAGCGGCGGTGCGCGAGGCGGGTTCGAAGCGCCGCCTCACTTGTGGGCAGTACGTAGCCGAGAGGCTCGCGGAGATGCGCGGCGGCTTTGCCGAGCGTGCGAATGGTGAAAGCGAGGAGTTTGCAGGCGAGGGTGCTGGCGCACCGCGGTAACAGAAGAGGGCTGACGCCATTTGAACATTGTCCAGCTCTTTTTTACCCCGGGCGCCACGTTCCGCATATAAAGCCGTATCACCGAGCGATTCTAAGATCAGGCCTGGCACGTGGCACTGGGCGAACTACATCGGCCGTCCCTCAGTGCTCAGAGCTCAGCTTCCAGCTGCCCGCTTGAGTTTCCTCTCGATTGGCTCGAGAATTTTGCTCTTAGTTGTTAGTAGAAAAAAGAATAGAGGCGGCGCCAGCAGCGTTCTCGGATCTGAAGCCGACTTTGAGCGCCGATCGATCGATCTGAGGGGCTGGCCGATGGTGCTGGGACATCGCCGCCGCCGCGGAGGCGGGAGAGGCCGGCCCGGCCACCAGAGTCCACAGAGGAGCGGTTGCGGGTTGGGCGGGCGCGCGTGGCGCACCATAAACCATATGTTACCTGCCAAGTGAGGCTAGTGCCATTTCACTCTGACACGCTAATCTTGAAAACGTCTCCAACGGAGCTCCGTGTTGCTTCCAGCGCCCTCCCCCGCGCTTCCTGCGGCCATGGCCGATGATCCTAGTATGAGAGGTCATCTGGCTACCGCGAGAGCGACCCAACTCGTCGACATCGTCCGATGATGGTGCCTCAAAGTCAGCCTTCGGAGGCTATCGTGGGGTGGAGCCGGCAGTAGCCGTGACATGTGGTTCCACCACCCCTCGTAGGCTTTGCCTCTGACCGCCACCGTTCCCAGGCTGCCTACTGGGATGGAAAGGAAGGCTCGGCGAGCGTATAGAAGCGTGCTCGACCTCGTCGTGGCAACCTGTACGGCAGCGCTGGTAGGCGCGATGAGCGTCGTGCCACCTGACCCGAGACAGGTCGCAGGCGTCGTACCGAGCGCGTCGAGACCGTGTCCTGATGTGGTCTGCACGGGTGAGTCACGTCGGCGTCAAAGGAGCGACGTGTGACCTGTCAGAGCTTGATCTCCGATCTCAGCGGCGTCGAGTCGTCTCCGGCGCGCAACAAATGTACCTCCCCAGGACGCGCAGAGGCAGCTGCGACCCCGCCGAGTAGACGGCGGCACACCGCGCCACCTGCTGTGTGCCGCCGTCTACTCGGCGAGGTCGCAGCTTCCACTGGAAGGCACCGAGAGGTACATTTTTCGCGCAATGGTCAAAATCAAGGTTTTGTAACGCGGGCTGTGCCACAGTGAAATGGCACTAGCCTGAGCATTCAAGTGTGTTTCGAGATTTATTCGAGATTTGAAACGTCCCATGCGGTTCGTTTTCTCAGTGGGGAGGTGGCCGACCTGTGATCTTAGAATCGCTTGCCACCATCAGCATTCAGACACGCACCAACTCAGCTTGCTCACACTGAGCTCTGGAGGCGCGCGCACCACCACGCGGCTCAACTCGGCGGCGTGAGCGACACGTCGAGAGGCGGCAAGCACGTGTTGCGCCGGTGGCGCACCACCGCCCTCCGCATCGCCCGCTTGGTTACTGCGTACTTTGCCGGCGCAATGTCGGGGTGCCAGAAGCGGATGAGGAGGACGACCCGCACGTCGGTTGGGTGGCGGTTCCAAACCTCGTGCTCGTACGAGTCGTCGAAGATGAGAAGCTCGCCTACGCGAGGGCTCCCCAGAGCTCTGGGACTGCTCCGAGGACGCTCCGAGGAGCCGTCCGGGAGGCGGGGCTCGCCTTCGCGGTACTGCCTCACCTCGTCGCCGACGCGGATCTCGCAGCCGTCCGGGACGATGAGCGGCAAGTGGGCGGTCAGCCGCGCGTTGGTAGAGCCGCAATGCGGGAGCAAGTGCGCGCCTGCCAGTTCATCCGTGAGTTGACGCCCCTTCATCCATGATCGCGCACTGCCCGGTAGGGCGGGACCGGGCGCGCGCCTCCGTGCAGCGCCGAGAAGGTGCACTCCCCCACGCCGCGCTCCGCCATGTCGCTCGCGGCGGGCATCGATTCGAGGAGGGCTGCAGTGGCGGGGCAGCGCTTCCGGTTGCGCGCCGCTTCGGCAGCGACGGCGGGGTCGCCGTTGAGCAGCACCAGCTCGCGCCACTCGCCTAGCGACGTCTCGGAACTGTCCCGGAAGTGTCCCCTCTCGCCGTCGACAAGTCACTTTGCGCCGCTCGCCGCCGCTCGAGAGGGAGCGGTCACCCGCGTCGTGGCGAGACCCGACCACGTCCCACGCCGAGGAGGACGAGGAAGCGCCTATCGCAATCCCGTCACGCGGAGTCGGAGCCGTGCCACCGCCTCCCAGCGACACTGCCGGGCGAGGAGCGCCCTTGGGTGGAGCCCTCGCGGCGGCGGCCTCGGCGCGCACGGCGGAGAAGGCCTGGACGAGCTTCACCGCCCACCCAAACTCGACCGGCTCGTAAAAGGGAGAGGAGCGCAGCGAACGCAGGAAGTGAGGCGGCCGCTGCAGCCCGTTGAGCCAGTAGCCGCCCGCGCGGGACGCCTCGCCCGCCAGCCTGCGAGCCGCCTTGCGAATCATTCGACACACGGGTGAGGTCCACGGGTGAGGTCCTCGTTACTGATCGCTCGTCTGCCGGCCGCCGCCCGACATGGGGTGCCACCGGCTGTATCGAGAAGCAGGCCTGTGTCTCTCGGGAGTCTCTCGGGAGTCTCTCGGACGTGTCTCGGAAGTGTCTCGGGAGCCAACCTCGGCGTGCGCGCTCAAGTCTGCCGGGTGGCGCAAGGCGCTGACGGTGTCGAGGTCGATGTACGGGGAGGCGGACACGGCAGCGGCGAACCTGCCCTTGGCGGGACGTGCCTCCCCTCCTCCCTGCCCGCCCAGCGCGACTGCTTTCAGCAGCTGAGCCTCCGCCAGGTCGAGCAGCTCGCGCCGCCTGAGTCAGCCAGCGAGGCAGCCTCAGCACTCCACCCCCGCCTCTGCAACACCGAGCGGCTTCCCGCCGCCTCTCTGCCGACACCGGACGCCGCACCTGAGGGGCGCCGCCGCCGCCGGACGCCGCCGCCGCCACCGCCGCCCTGCGCGCCTCCGCCTGGTCGACCGAGCCGCCCTCGACGATGCGGAGCGCGCAGACAGCGAGAAAGTAGTGCCTGGCAGAACCAGCTATATTATATATATATAAATAAAGTAGTGCCTGGCAGAACCAGCGAGCTGAGGCTGCGAGGGACAGTGTGTCGTGCCCTGCGGTCTGAGCCTCTCGATACGGGATCCGTCAATGCGGCGGCCAGCTCGTGAGTGGAACACCGACAGTGTCTGCACATGCTCGGCGTCTAGGAGGCGCCGCCTGCGCGCCGCCTCGTGCGGCCCTCCACGCTGCGCCGCCATCAGGCCGCGCTGCGCGTGGGAGAGGGCGCCATCGTAGTCGCGGGAGAGGAAGTGGCCCGCGGCGGCGAGGAAGAGCGCGTCAGGGTCCGACGGGATGGCCGGCAGCAGCTCGTCCCGCATCAGCTGCAGCAGCGAGCCGAGCCGCGAGCCGAGCCGTCGCATCGCGTCCACCGCTGCTCCGGCGGGCTGCGCGGCTGCGGCGGACGACTCGCCGTCCGAGCCAGAGTCGGCGCCCGAGTCTGCGAGAACGTCGAAGCCCTCGAGCAGCTTGGCCGCCTCGTGCGACAGGCCGAGCAGTTCGGCCCGCAGTTGCTCGAGCCACGGAGCCAGCCGAACCAGCGCCGGGCTGGCGGGCTCGGGCTTGTGGGAGGCCTCGGCCGCGACGGGCGCGGTGACGGCAGCGGGAGAGGTGGCAGCGGACCGGCGGCGAACTCGCCACTCGGAGCGCTGGGAGGCGACCCGGGCTTGCGATGCTTGCGATGGCTCCATACAGAGAGTGTTGGGGGGGGGGGGTCCGTATGGGTCGAAACGAAAAGTTTACCAAGCACTCCGTGCACGACACTGGGCACGGGACTGGCGCGCACTGGCACTAACACAGGAACGAAAAGAATTGTCAGGCGCGGACGCCGAGACTGGATGCTGAGTGAGGACCTGTGTACGTGCGTGGTGTACAGTGTCGTGTCTACTAGCTCCGAGTTGCGAGTAGAGGGGGCGTTATTCTGAAGTTAAGGGGAAACCCGGTACACGGAGCCAACCCTCGGAGACCCGTGTTTACTTTACGGCCCTTTCCCTGCGAACGCGCACCCCCCTAGGGGTCAGGGCTCTCTAGCCCGTAGCCCGATCCCGATCATCCGGCCCGCTGGGTGCGCTTCTTAGGAAGCTCCCCTGCCCTGGATGTGAGGTTACCGGGACTGCACTCCAAGTGCTCCAAGTGCATGGCGAACTCCCTCATCGTCCTTCGAGTGGGTGTGCGAGCAATATCGAAAGACGGTGAGGCCGGGATCGCACACGGCAGGGGTGGCGGGAGGGGGGAGGGATCCCCACCGCTTGCCAGTGGTGCGCCACCTGTATTGCCCGCTGCTTGGCCACCCGAGCCACCATCCTCAGGGCGCCTCCCTCCCATCCCGAGCAGCGCTTCCGCCATCTCCGCTTCTGCTACCCCCACTAGGCGTAGGAATCGGGGGAGGGCGGCCGGCACCGCTCCGTCAGGGACGGCTTCCTCCGGGGCTGCTCCAGCAAGCTCGTGTAGCGCACGTAGCGTTGCCGCCGCGTCTTTGTACGTCTTTCGCCTCCTCCCCTCCCCCAACCAACGGCCTTGTCGTCGGAGAAGGGGCAACTCCGTGCACTGACGGTCGGCCGTCAGAAAACACGCCTCCGTGGCTCGGGTTACACCAATCCTTCCACCTCCAGAACCTCGAGAGAGAAGGAAATGGCCAAAATTACCGTGCCGCTCCTTCCGCGCCTCGCCGCCCTTACCATTTATTCGCCGTCCCTCCTGCCGTGCGTTACCGCCGTGCCGCCGTACCGCCGCTCCTACAGTGCCGCGCCGCCTCCCACACGCACACACCTTACCTCCTGCTCGACCGAGTTTGCGATGAGAAGTGACCCGAGCCGCCGGGTGCCCCGCAGCGGCCTCGCTGGACCAGAAGAACCGGTCCGCGAGTGCTCCGCAGCAGCCTCGCTGAGCCAGAACGTCGGCTCGCGAGGTGGGGTGCTAGTATGAGCCCGACCCAGGTCGTAGTGTTCTTGCTCCCAGCGCTTGCGCTTCGGCGGTTAGTGGTGCACTAACCTCCGAGAAACCCTTCGGGTCGCTCCTCATCGCAAACCCTGTCAGCAGCAGGCCTCTCAGTTCACGCCGGAATCGTGAACCGTGAACCGTGAACCAACTAGCCCCCGCCCCGAGTCCGTGAACCCCGAACCGTGAACCGACTAGCCCCCACCCCGAGTCCGTGAACCGTGATCCGTGAACCGACTCCTCCCGCGACACCCGCCGCGAACCGTGAACCGTGAACGAACCGAGTCTGGCGAACCGGCGGTGAACCGCCGGTTCGCGAACTGGGTTCGCGAACTGGTTCGTGAACCGCCCCCACCAAGTTCGCGCGGCGGTTCGCGAACTGGGTTCGCGAGAACTGGTTCGTGAACCGCCCCCACCAACCTACTTGCCGGGCTCATAGTCCTTCTCGTGCTTGCGCATGTACTCCATGAAGGCGCGGTTCATGCGGAGAATCACCACCATCGAGTACTCCTCCGCCTTGTAACTGAGGCGGTGACGGTGCACCCCCTGCTTGGCGCAGCTGAGTGAGGATGCGCTCGCAGAAAGACTCGGCCATGAGGGCGCCGATCTGGCCGGTCGAGCAGCTCGCCATTGCCGGGAGGAAGCCAAACCGTGAAAACTGTATTGTATATTTGGGAGTTATCCCAAACAACCAAACTTGCGAACCAAGGTCCGTGACATAATAACGAACTGCCGCCGCGAACTTCCCACGTAGCCAGCCCCGTGAGCCCCGTGCCTGTCACCATGAAGAAGGCATCCGAGGACACCACTGACACGGAGGAGTCGTACCACGACACGCCACCACCACCCGACACGCCGCCTCCGTACTACGGGTCTGTGCCGTACGAGCTCAGTGAGCACGGTTCGTTCAGCGATCCGCGGCGCTTCTCGGTCGGCCTCCTGCAAGAGGCTGGCTACCTCGACGAGAACCTGCAGCGGTGTAAGCGTCTGAGGGCCGACTCGCCCGTTCCGTTTGCCGGGCCGGACGCGTCTGCACCGCCTGACCTCGAGCCGGCCACGTCTTTCGCGGAGCTGCGCCGCCGGGCCGAGTTGGCCAAAAAGAAGGTGGCAGCGGAGGCGGAGGCGGCGGCGGCGGCGGCGGCGTTCGAGCAGAAGCCGGCAGTCGCCGATTCCGAGGTCTGCGTCCCCACATCAGACACACCGCCCCATCCAGCTGATCATCGCTTTCCCTCCACAGGAGGCGGTGCTACCCCTTCCGCTTCACCCGGAGCTGGGCGGCGAGGAGGGCCACTACCAGACCGTTTGGCGCCGCTCTACCGCGGTCAACGAGTTTGGGATGGCTCTGTTTGTTCCCAAGCCCGAGCCATCCTCTGCCCACGGCGGCTCCGGCCGCCACACGATCAAGATCGACCACGACCCACCGTCCCCGGTGGCGGTGCGGTTTGAGCCGGAAAAGTAGATGCCCACAAGTGCGAGCGTCAGGCTGGGCGGCCACTGTATATCAGGGCTGAGGGGCGACAGACGGCTGGCGGGCAGAGGCACAGGTAGCCCAGCGTCTCGTCGAACTCCCCTCGAGGAACTCCCGCCACTTTGTTCCGGCTTTCGCCGCGCTGGTTCGAATTTCTGGGTCTCGGTTCACGGATGGTTCGCGAACTGTGGTTCGCGAACTGTGTCGGTGTGTAAGAGGTGTGAAAATAAGCTTGGTTCATGAACTAGTTCAGTGGTTCACCCTCGAACCGACCGTGAACTCTGAACCGTGAACCCGAACCGAGGCAGGACAAAAGGGCGAACCGCGAACCGTGAACCGACTAGCCCCCGCCCCGAGTCCGTGAACCCTGAACCGTGAACCGACCAGACCCCGCCCCGAGTCCGTGAACCGCGAACCGTGAACGAGCCGTGAACCGCGAACTGGTTCATGAACCGGGTTCACGGTTCACCCCGTGAACTGAGAGGCCTGGTCAGCAGAGTCTCCTGCGGGAATGTACGTAAGACGTGCGAAAAAATTCTTCTTTCGTGTGCCGGTGCTCGTTCGCGTTTGCTGCTGGGCGCGCGCCTCTGAGCATGCTGCCCGCCGGCGGATCAAGAGTGAGGGATCAAGAGTGGGTCGCCGCCGTCACCGGCCTCGGACCCGCCGAAGCGGCCAGCTATCTCGACATGGCCGGCGGCAACGTTGAGCGCGCCGTGCAGCTGTATTTCAGCATGGGAGACACTCCCGCTGCGCAGCCGCCGCCGCGCCCACCGGTCCAATCGCAGCCCGCGCGCCCGGCACCGCGCCCGCCGGTTCCAGCGCAGCCGGTGCGGCCGCGCCCGCCGGTGCCGGCGCAGCCAGTGCGGCCGTCGCACATGGACGCGGCTCGACTCGACCAGCAGGAGCAGCAGCAGCTGCAGCGGGCGATCGCGCTGTCCAAGCAGGAGCAGCAGCCACGGCCGGCGCAGCCGCCGGCGAGGGCTGCGCAGCCGCCACCGCAACACCCGCGACAGCAGCAGCAGCCACGGCCTTCGTTGGCGGGTGCGGCGTCGCGGCCGTCGCAGGCGGGTGCGGCTTCGCGGCCTTCGCAGGCGGCGGCGGCGGCGGCAGATGACGAAGTCATCGAACTGTCCGACGACGAGGGGCCGCCCGCAAGCCAGGGCAGCGCGAGCGGGCGCTCGTCGGGCGGAGCTGGGGGCGGCGCGGCTCCATCTGCCCCCGCTCCGGCGTCGGCGGCGCAGCAGCAGGCGCAGGCGCAGCAGCAGGCGCAGGCGCAGCAGCAGCAGGCGGCGCAAGCGGCGGCGCCCGGGCGGAAGGGGGGTCAAGGGTACAAGCCGGAGGAGGAGCGGCAGATCCAGCGGCTGTTTGATGAGCTCCGGCAAGGTAGGCCGTCGCTCACCGGCCCCGAGTGGGGAAGGCTGGTGGAGCGGCTCGGCACCGGCCGCGGCGTGGACGCCGTCCGGCAGCACTGGCTAAAGATGCAGCGCAAGGCCAAGGCGGCCGCTTCGCCTGGGGCGGTCGCTGCGCCGAGCGGCGCTGGTGCCTCTAGCGCGGGGGGCGCACCGAGCGGCGGGGTCCTTCCCGGCGAGACTTTTGCGGCGGCTGACCGAGGCGACGAGGCGGCAGTGGTGGCGTGGCTCGACGGCGGCGGGCAGGTCGGTGCGACAAACAAGGACTCTGGCTGGACGCTTCTGATGAAAGCCTCCCAGCTGGGGAACGTGCGCCTCATCGACTTGCTGCTGCAGCGCGGCGCAGCGATCGACCAACGCTGCAGCGGCGGGAGCTGGAGCGGGGCAACCGCGCTGACTATCGCCCCATTCTTCAACGAAATCGCCGCCGTGCGGCGCTTGCTGCAGGCGGGAGCCGACACGAAGATTCGCGATGCACGTGGCTCGACCGCGCTGCAGATTGCCAGGCAACAAGGCCACGCCGAGTGCGCGCGGGTCCTCGAGGCAGCTTCCGTGGCGCCGCCCGCCACCGCGCCGGTTGCCGCTGCTGCCTCCGCTTCATCTCCCGCCGCGCCCGCCCCCTCTTCTTCCCCCGCCGCTGCTACCGAGGTGGACGCTCTGGCGGTGATGCGGGAGAAGAGGCTCGCCGCCTTTGAGGCCCGTCCCGCCGCCGCGGCTGCGGGGTCTGCGTCGGCGCCGGCCGGCGCGGCGAGGGGAGCGGCCGCGCAGCGCCCGGCGGCGGCGCCGTCCGCTGCTTCCGCGGCGAGCAGCAGCTCGGCTCCCCGCAGCGTGATCACGGCGGCCGGGAGAGGCGACGAGGCGGCGGTGCAGGCGTGGCTCGAGGGCGGCGGGCAGGTCTGCGCGACGGGCCCGAACGGCTCCTTCCGGTCCACGCTTCTGACGGAGGCCGCGGGCTACGACCACGAGAAGCTGGTGGACATGCTGCTGCAGCGCGGCGCGGCGGTCAACCAGCAAGATGAGCAGGGCTCCACCGCGCTGACCCGAGCCGCCGCCACGGGCCACGAGGGACTCGTGGTCAAGCTGATCTCGCGCGGCGCAGAGCTCGACCGGCAGGACAAGCTCGGCCGCACCCCGCTGATGCACGCCGCCTCCCGCAACCGCCTCGCGATCGTGCTCCGCCTGCTCCAGGTGGGCGCAGACCCGAGGGCGTGTGCCGACGACGGCAGGACGGCGCTGCAGATGGCCAAGGACAAGGGCCACGCCGAGTGCGTGCGTGCGCTCCAGGCGAAGGAGGGGGGCGGCGCCAGCGCTAGCGGCTCGGCGCCGGACCCGACGCCGTCCAGCGAGAGGGGCGGGTCGAGCTCCCTCGCAGAGCAGAAGGCGGTCGGCGATGGCGCGGTCGGCGAGGGCGGTGGCGCGGGGCCCTCGTCGGACGCGGCGACACCGGCGGCGGCCAGCGGCTCGGAGGCGCAGCCGAAGGCCTCGCGCCACGCCTCGGTCGTCGCCCAGCTCGAGGCGGGGGGGGCGGCGGTCGGCGGCGCGGCCGGCGATTGGTCGGTGGAGAAGGAGGAGGAGCTGCTCGCGCGTCGGGTGAGCTGCGAGCGCGTGTGCACTCGGCAGTTTCTCGCAATCGACAATCACGTGGAGGTGGTGTCCAAGTTTCTCCCGGCGAGCATCAGCAGCAAGATGGCGACGATCAAGGTTCGCAACACGGCCGAGGGGCTAGGTCCGGACGTGCTGCGCGCGCTGCAGCGGCAGAGCCCGTCGGGGAAGCTTTACCAGCGGTGGTCGGTGGAGTACGCGGGCGAGCACGAGGAGGGCGTCGACGAGGGCGGGCTGCTCATCGACCTCTTCTCCAAGGCCTTTCCGCACCTCCGCGCCGCGCAGGGCACGCGGCGCCTCTTTGAGGCGCCAACGCCCGACGAGGAGGTCGAGGTCCTCCTGCCGCTCGCGGACGCGGACTGGGAGGCCGCCTTCCCTCGCGGTGTCCCTCTCGAGCCGCCCTCGGCCGTCGGAGCCGCCGGGGCAGCGGCGAGCAGCAGCAGTGGCGGCGGCGGCGGCGGCGGCAGCGAAGGAGACGGCGGCGGCGGTGGCGGCGGCGCGAGGAAGCGGCAAAGGACTGCGGCGGCGGCGGAGGAGTCGGTGCCTGTCGAGGAGGCGCTCAGCTTGTGCGGGCGGCTGCTGGCCAAGGCGCTCATCGAGGGGAGCAGCTGCTGCGTCGATGACGCCCTCCCCATGTACGTGCTCGAGTACCTCGTCACCGACAACGTCGAGTCGCTCGACACCATCGGCGGAGCGCTCGCTGCGATGGAGGTCACCCGGCCCGGGCAGGCGCGCCTCTACCGGCTGCTCCTCGCGCCGGGCGGCGTGGCACACTTGGAGGGAGTCTACGACGGCGCCCTGAAGGAGTGCGACCTCATCGAGTCGCCCTCGCGTCCCGATATGACGTCGACGCACGCGAACGCGCTCGTGACCGAGGAGACCAAGCAGGAGGCGGTGCTGCGCGCGGTGCGGCACCAGCTCTTCTCCGAGCGGCGCCGCTCGCTCGAGGCGCTCAAGGAGGGCTTCCAGGGCATGGACCAGCCCCGCAGCGGCACCGCCGCGTCGCAGCAGTTCGGGTGCTACAACTTCCAGCATCTGCTCTCCACGCTGCCGCCGATGGACATCGCGCTGCGGCTGCGCGGCCAGCCGGTGCGCGGCGGCGGCGACGTGTGGAGGCACCTCCGTTTCGTGCGGCACGACGTCGAGTTTACGGCCGAGGGCGAGACGAAGATGCTGCCGGCGCCCGAGGACAAGTACGGCTTGGTGCAGGCGTGGCTCGAGCGCCTCGTCTGCGACGACCCGGATCAAGGCGGCTTCAAGCGCGAGGAGTTGCAAGACTTTGTGCAGTTTTGCACCTCGCGCAAGACCTTTCGCGCCTTCGTGGCGCACGACCCCGCGCTCGACGACATTGTCGTGCGCGTCTACACTCCGCCGCCCGGGCGCAGCTACTGCCCGACGGCCTCGACGTGCAACCGGGAGCTGCAGCTGCCGTGCGGGTACGCCGACGCCGCGGCGCTGAGCCGGGGCATGCGCGAGGCGCTGCAGAACCACCGCTGCAACGAGGAGCTGCAAGAGGACCGCGTCTCGTTTGCGTACAGTTAGACAGAGAGAGGGAGGGGCAGCAGCTGAGTGACACCCTTGCCATGAAAAACTTGCGTCGAGTGTCGCGATTTTCACGGGCGCAAAAAAATAAATCCCCTCTTTTAGATACATAATTCATAATTTTTATTTCACCAAACACCCGGACGTTCCCACGCCAGGGGGTGATGGAAGGTCGACGCACCCCCGGACTCTGCTCTCTTGGCTGGAACTCTGGGCGGAGTCCGGAGAGATCCCAGGGCACGCTCCTGGGCACTCCGCCCCGCCCCCACTTGCCCTGACTGCACAGGGTAGCGTGCCCCGACGAACGGCGACACATCGCGGGGGACACTGCGCCGGGGGGCGGGGGGGTATGCCTAACTTTGCTCTTTGCACTTTGGTGCTTTGTGTGGGTGGGCCGCCGCGTTCCCATGGTAGCTGTGTGGCTGAAGCCCTCGTGCCGCTGGCGTTTTTCACGGGCGCAAACATTTACCATTCGGTTGCTCTGTAGCCCACGTAGTGGGAGACTATCGACTATTGTGGAGATCTCGCAGAGATTCTGCATTCCGCAAATCGCCCTGTTTGGTAAAAAGTTCGGTAGGTCGCGGCCATGCCGTGCGTGGAGAACCCCCTCGCGCTCGCTCCAGGTCTGCACTCGTGGGAGCAGACCTTCATCAAGGACTGCCCCACCAGCCCCTTTGGCGACGTCCGCCCCTTTGACTTCTCTTCCCGCAACTCGACCGCCGCCGCGCACTTCACGCTTGGGCTCAAGGCGCTGCACAACTTCTTCTTTGACCTGTGCAAGTATGAGTTCGACCAGGCGCGACTCATCGAGCCGACACTTTTCATGGCGTACTGGGGCCGCGCCCTCTGCGAGGCACAGCTCGTGTGGAACGGCGAGAATGTGCCCGCCTCGGTCGAGGTGATTCGCGCGGCGCAGACGAACCCCGAATTCCCTGGCAGCATGAGCGAGCGAGAGCTCGCCTACTTTCAGAGCGTCGTCACGCTGAATGGCGGGATGGAGCCGCCGTCCACGCCCGACACCGTCGTGGCCACCCGTCCCGCCCGCATCGCCGCCTACGGCAAGGCTGTGAGCGCCATCGCCAAAGCGTATCCGGAGGATCAGACGGCACAGTCCTTCCTCGTGGTCGCCGCTCTCGCGCTCGGCTCCGTCGGCGATTGCGCAAACACCCAGCCGCCTCCCGCCTATTGCAAAGCGCTGCAGGAGCAGTCGCGGGTCCTCGCCGACCTCGCCCGCGCCTCGAACCCAACCTCGCCGGGCACCCTCCACTATGGCATGCACGCACACGACTTTCCGAACAGGTCTGCCTCGCACGCGCCTCATACCACACTTCGCCCGGCATCCTGCACTACGGTATGCACCCACACGACTTTCCGATCAGGTCTGCGTACACCGGTGGGCGCAAGTACGCTATCGCGTACCCCAAGTACGTGACGGAGCAGACGCACAGCCTCCACATGCCTTCGCACATCTGGGACCGCATCGGTGCGTGGGCAAACGCCTCGGCCGCAAACGAGGCGTCGGTGGCGGCCGCAGATGCCTTCGCCGCCTCGGGGGCGCTGGAGCAGGTGTGAGAGGGAGGGGGCAGGGAGGGAGGAGGCAGGATTGAGGGAGGGGAAGGCGGTTCCACCCAGCCCGCCTCCCACCATCCCCACCACCACCATCACCTCCACCCAGCTCACCACCCAGCCCACCTCCACCGAGCCCGCCTCCACCGAGCCCGCCTACGCCATCCCCACCCCCCTGGTACCCGGCCACCAAGACCCACCGTCGTCACCTCCTTCGTCGCCACTCCCGCCATTGTCACCGCAGCCAAGCCCGCCGCCGCCGTCCCCGCCTCCGCCCTCGCCGCCGCAACCCTCCCCACCGCCACCCTCACCCCCGCCACCCTCACCGCCACCACAGCTTGGCTCGCACGGCTATGCCTTCGACTCGGGCAACGTGTACCATTCGCTCGAGTATCAGCAGTACGAGTTGCTGCAAGGTTGTCACATGCGCAAGGCGCGGATGCTGTGGTCGCGCATGGGTTACGCCGCCGCGCAGGCCATGTTTGCGCCGCGCGCGTGGTCGCAGTCGAAAGGCTCGCCCGACCGGTCGCCGCAGACGCTGCACGAGCTGGCCTTCCAAGGTGTGGTTGGCACCTCGTGGTACAATGCGACGACCTTCATGCAGTGGGAGTACCGGATGGCTGCGCGGCAGGCGGTGTGGAGCCTGCTCACCGAATGGCTCGGCGGTGCCGCCTCCTCTCCCGACGCCACCTCGGACTGGCGCGGCTTCCACCCGCGCAGCATGCCCAACCCATTGGCGTGGCAGGGTCAGACGGTCTACATCCACTCCTTCTTCTCGGCCGAGGCAGAGGCGGCCCTCAACGCGGCGCACGCTGTCGCGTCGCTCTACGACAACATCGTCGCCAGCGGCGGTCCGGCCATCGCCCACCACGAAGGCGATCCCACATCGCCGCAAGACTTGGGCAGCCACGGCCGCGGCGCTCTGTCCTTCACGCCGCTCGAGCACGAGACGCGCGGCGGCTTCACGACGAAGCCATGCGATTCGGCCTCGGGCTGTATCTCCGAGCGTGTCGCCGCGTCGCTGCACGTGCTCGAGCGGGCGCGTGAGCACTGCGCCAGCGTGGGACGGGTCCACGAGGGCGCGGGCGTGCGCGCTCTCGAGCTGCAGGTGCGCGCCCTCATGGCGCTCGCGCAGAACAACGGCAGCGGGGCGCTCGACCTGCTCGGTGAGGCGGCGGCCGTGGAGGAGAAGATGCAGAGCTCGCTGGTGCCGAGCTCGATCACCCTCTTCTACCTCCCGTCAACTGCCATTGAAGGCACGATCCGACTCGCGCTGCTCCGCTCGGGCCAGCGAGCCCAGCTGGTGAAATGTGAGAACACGCCCGCGATGGCCGTGCGCGCCTTCTCGCGCTGCCTCGAGCCCCTCATCCACCCGCGAATGCCACTCTGTCTGCTCGGCCGCGCCCGCGCGTTCCGGCGCGTGGGCAACGCCACAGCCGCAGCTCGCGACTATCGCCAACTGCTGAGCGACGGCGAGTGGGATGGCGCCGAGTGCGAGGCCGGGCTCGGCGAGGCAAAGGCATTCCTAAGCGGCCTCGAACACACTCGACCGGACGACACCCTCACACCGAAACCGCCGCCACCGGCGCCGCGGCCGCCGCCAACTACGCTCGCGGACACGGCGGCGGCAGCTTACCCAGCCATCGCGCTCGCTGACGTAGCTGGAGCCGCCCCGCCAAGCAAGGAATCTGGGCTGAACGTCTCGCTTCTAGCGGCTGCCATGTACTTGTGCGTCGCCGCGGCGTTGGGCGCCGTGTGCGGCGGTGCGGTGGTCTCCGCCCACCACCAACGAGCGGAGCGCGCGCAGGGCAACAACAAGATGGGCTATGCGCCGCCACCCGTTCACGTGCCGGTGGAAGTGGAAGTGGAAGTGGAAGGGCATGCCCACTAGATAGAGCGTGGCAATGGGGTGGTGTGATGGTTAGCAGTAGCCCTTTGCCGGGGCTCCACAGCGGTTTCAGGTACCCCATCACACCTGGAGCTATGAGCCCTGTGAGGGCCCGAAATTTCGTTCACCGAGGACATCCTCTCCGGGGCGGCCTGGGTGCGCTGAGCCTGACCCTGACGCCTCTTGTCCCTTGTGAGAGGTTCGCGGTCGCTTTTTCTGGAACTCTGGGGGGGGCGCGGGGGCCCTAGAGGGTGTCCATGCGGGGAGGAGATGGGGTCCGATGGCCCGCCGCAGGCGCCGATTTTTCGGGATTTTTTCTTTTGTGCGCGGTTTTTCACTTGTTTTCATGGGAATTCGGCGTACTTGCGGCCATGCTATCACGCCTTGCGACAGCCTGTCGGCGCTGCTGACCGTGCCATGCTGCACAATTGATCACCTGCATAGCTCGCGGCCTTAGTATCAAGCATTCAGTGACGACCTGATCGTACGGTCAGTAGGAAGGTGTCCTTCCAATGTGTGCACGCTTCTGACGCAATGCGCGTCACAAACTGCCTCAGATTGGCTGCTGGCACTCTCGAGGCTATGCCTACACAGCCTCGCGCGCATGGGCAGTCAAGAGGGACCACGCACCTTCTCAGGACAGCGCCGGTGCCTCTCTCTTGGACCGGAAAACTTGGTGGTCTCGTGTCACCAATGTGGGACCAGTGCGGCATCGCGCCATCGACAGCTCTGAACTGCGCATCACCACTGACCGGGAAGGCCGCCAAGTGGGCCAGCACAGGTCGCACATTGTGGCAGCAGTCAGCAGTGCATGTCTGATAGCTAGAGCAGCAGCGTCAGGGTCTCGCAGGGTCGGATCGTGTCAAGCCTCTCGCCCGGCCAGCCGCATGCAGACGTCGGCCTGTCTGCTGTCTGGAGTGATCTGTCGGCGGTCAGTACGACCGAACAGGTCGGAGTTTGCTGATGATTGGAGGGTCTATCTGTATGTACTCCTCGAGATCTCTCCGAATCTGCCCTCTGATCAACCGTGATCATTCGGGAAGTCGGTGCTCTGAGCGACTCTGAGCGCCGGAGCCCCGTTTCCGCACTGCTGCGCGGCGCACGGTGCCTCCGGGGGCCCCCGCGCCCCCCCAGAGTTCTGGAAAGAAATAGGTAGCACGGAAGAAAGCAAAGAAACGAGGGAGGGGAGGAGGACAGGGTCACCACCTGCACGTGCGCTTAGCAAAATTCTTTTCTGCTGCCAGGTGTACCATCGAAGTCGAGAGGAGGATCGACGAGGAGGAACGCAGGAGGATCTTATGCTCGCTGCCGTCTACTACCTCTTTCCTGCGTACGCGCTCCACCTTCAACCGGTCGCAGGGACCAGCTTGCCGGCGGTGCGAATTTCATCAGCCGCGACGCGGGCGTCGGCGCCGCAGATGCAGCAGGAAACTGGCCCGTTCGCAGGGCTGCAAAATGCGTTTGCCGTCTTCCAGGCGTCCAAGCAAGAGGGCATGGACTTCAAGCAGTCCGTGGCTGATGCCATAGCCGGCGATTACGATCGCGACTCGGTGACCGCTGACGTCAAGGAGGCTGCGTCTTCGGCACCGCTGGTGCTCTTCACTTGGGACTCCAGCCCCGCATGCAAGAAGGCTCTCCTGCCTAGATGCTGAAGTCTAGCACGTGTTTGAGAACACGCGAATTGCTGACTCACACTGTACTCCATCCGGCTCACGCTGCACTGCCATTCACAACCTGTTCCCTTCAAGTGTTTTATTTGCTTACACACGCGGCTTCCTGTGCGCTGTACGCCTTTAGGCTCTCAAGCTCATCGGGGAGACGGGTGCGAGTCCAAAAGTCGTGCGCCTCGACGACCCGTGGGACAAGGGCAACGTGATGCGCGCGGCGCTCGGCCGGCTGACTGGCAAGTCGTCGGTGCCGTCGATCTGGGTTGGCGGCGAGTACATTGGTGGCTGCGACGATGGCCCGAGCGATGAGGCGCCGGGCCTTGTGCCGATGGCCTTCCGCGGCACGCTGCGGGAAAAGCTCGAGGCTGCGGGCGCTTTGGACAGCGGCAGCATGCGCGAGGCACCGGCGGCCCCCGGCGCAGCGCACTGAGCATCCCCATTGCGTTTCTCTTTCTTGCACCCGCACCCAGGGTTCCGGCTCCTAGCCAGATAGGGGGTCTGCGCCCCACGGTGACACCCCATGCAATAGGTAGGTAGGTCCGGTTTTGACCGCCCCAGAGGGCCCTGCAATAGCTAGGTACCCACTATTTTCATCTTTTTTCGCTTCGCTGCGCGGCCTGGGGATAGGTAGGTAGGTAGGGCGTTTTGGCGTGCCAGACCCCTATCCGGCTAGGAGCCGGAACCCAGCCAGCGACACGGCGCCGCCACGCCCACGGCCGCCGCCACACCGGGCCACAGCACGCGCCGGCGTGAGGTCGTGCGCCTCACGTCTCGTGGCCATGAGCACTCGGGACGCGGTCCAGCACGCTGAATCGCTCGTCGTGCTCGTGCTCGTGGCCGGATCGCTCGCTTCTGGTGTGCGTGCTGCAGGCTGCCGCCCGCACCCCAGCAGCGACACAACCAGTGCCGCCCACGCCGCCTCTCAGGATGGCTGCTCATGTGGTGCTGTGTCCTATCGAAGATTGGCTTTGTGCGCGCGCTCTTCGACCTCGACGACCGCGGCGCGCGCTCCGAGCGGAAGCAGCCGCCGCGGCCTTTGGGAGACAGGAAGCTAAAACAGTGATGCTTTTCGTTCGTGGTGTGAGTATCCAGTCAAGAGATGGCGTACGTGTTGGACTCGGACAGCGGTCCGCGCGGGGCCAATGTCAGTACCAGACTCGGCCCAGCCCAGCAGCCTGTGGGCGGCACGAAGAGGTGGGCGGTTGCAGGCAGCAGGGCGGCGGTGAGTTTTCTATTGGCTGTAGGCTAGATTGCCACGCCTCTCCAGTCTCCACGGACGGGTGGGGTTGCACCCGCCAATTCGTGTCGCCGCGTCCCGCGCTCCCGCCGCGCCGCCGCACGTGCGGCACGGTGTGGCGGCAACACCGGCATATTATTTTCACGGGGATGCGGTGTATACGATAGGGCTACTACGACGAACTATGCGGCAATCGACTGGGCACCTGGCGCCCGACCACCCCCGCGCAAAGACCTCGTAGTAGCCCTCCCCGTAACCGACTTGGCCGGACTTGTCCAGGCCGCTGTCGCCGCGCAGATCTCTTTGCAGCGTGAGGACCACTGGGTCTTCAGAATTCATGAGGACCTCCTGCGAGTGAGGACCTCGACCAAATCCCTTTGCCGTGAGGACCTCTCGTCCACATGCCAGATGGCGCACAGTTCTGCATCTATCGGCGCGAGCAGTCGCTCGAGGGGCTCTACTGGCTGGCGGTGCTCAAGGGGAAGGCGTACACGCTGGCCGAGGACACGGTCGTCAACACCGACACCATCCCCGCGGGCTATCTCGTGGTCAAGGCGCAGTGGCTCAGGCTCGAGCAACGCGAGTGCGAGGGCAAGCTTCGCTCCTACACGCTGCTCGAGGCCGAGACGCTCATCATCGTGAATCACATGGTGCGGCTGGCGGGCTTGCGCTTCTCGCCCGGCCCGGGCGGCCCTGCGGACCGCCAGCTGAGGAGCGCGCGCGAGAAGCTCTCTCCTCTATTGGCCTACAGACGCATTACTCGCTCGAGGCGTGCTGCAGTGAAGACCAGTCTTATTGAGCTTGTTTGGAGGCGTCGATTTGTGCAAAAATGTGTGTTAGAGAGCGCTAGATGGCAAAATTTTCTTCGCCTCCGGCGGGGCCGCTCGCCGCGGGGCTAGAGAGTGACTTTTGTCGATGTCGGCTAGAAGTGCTGCACGTTTTTCAGAATTTCACCCCCAGGTCTGGGGTGCCATCTCCTAGTAGAGGTGTCCGTTTTATTTATTTATTTCTGCCCGCTCGAAGCAAGCGGGGAACCCGCCCTGGTGGGTGCTAGGCTATACGGGGTCGTAACAGTGAGATTTCTCGCACTCGTGTGTTTTGTTTTCAGATTTCACGGAGCTCAGCGTTCACGCAGCCTGCTTACATCGCTCCAGGTTCGCTCGCTCTCGTGAGTTTGGCTGTGAGTGTGCACTCTGCGTGGAGCGTGCGTGCGTGGACGCTTTTTTAGAACGAAATTTAGGAGGCGCCCGGGATTCGGGGCGCGGGGCGGAGAACTCGGATCCTAGGTGGAGGCGATGAGGGGCGTGCGGGAGGGCGGGAAGAGGAGGAGGTGGGTGGGGGAGGAAGAGGAAGAGGGGTATCCGATTGAGGAGGAGATGGTGGGCTGGTGGGGCGTTATCACAGAGGAGAAGATGGGGGATCGGGAGAAACGGGTGGATGAGGGTGTCGCCTCGAGTGAGGCGGGGGGTGAGGGCAAGAGGCGAGAACCCAGATCGCGGCGGAAACAGCAACCGGCGCGCAGCCAGAGGGAGGCTGGCCGGGCCTGAGGCTGGCGCTGAGTGGATTGCGCTCCGTGTGTGTCGTACACTTCTTCAATTGCTAAGTTTTCTTTTCCATTTTTCCGCCCGGCTGACCCCCCCGCCAAGCCTCCCCCCCACCACTGCCCGCCCCGCTCTCTCTCGCAGGTGAGAAAGCAACCTCTTGACTTAAAACAACGGGCTTGCCCATCCCGGAGTGGATTCGACCCCACATAAACCCGGAGGTGACGGGATGCTGTCGTACGGGTGGTCTCAGGCCCACCGGCCCACGTGAGGTAGTGCATCTGACACTATCCCGGATCCCGGAGGGAAAAGCTCCTCTTTTAGCTCGATCGGTCACACACCGCCACCACCGCCGCGACGTCTCCCAGTGAGACATGATGAAGAGGCCCGGGGGGGGGGGACGGCACCGCCTCGGCGTGCACCTCGATCCTGTACCGACTAACCGTGTTTGTTATGCCCCCCCCCCCCCCTGAGCTATACACACCAGTGTGCAGTGAGGGAGGACGAGACACGAGACCGTCCAGGTGGGTCCTCCGTGTACCCCCCACCACACGCGGAAACAGGAATCGACGAGCACGACCCCCCACCTCGTGTCCAGACTCTCCCGCGACCTCTCCTCTCTCGACTCTCGCGGTCCCCCGAGACGCGAGAGCCGAGACTCCACTCGCTCCAGTCACTCCACCCTGCGTCAAGCAAGGTGAACGCAAGTGCTCGCTCAAAAGCCTCTCAACGAAGGACGCGCGCGCTCTCCGCGCAGAAGTCAGCGTGTTACTATCACACACAAAGCGAAAAGGAGAGCGAAGCCGAGGACCGCGCGTGCTCTGCGCTACGCGGCCTACACACGGAGCCCCCCCCCGGACTAGATGTGTGAATGAATGTCTCCTCTGACTCCTCCGGGCCATGTGTGTACAGTGCAGCCGATTGCTCCCACAACGTCAGCAGAGCACCAATGCCAAACCTCCCCCGCCCCCGAGCCAGATATGCCCACAAAGCAAAGTCAGCACGAGCACCTCTCGTCTGCCCTCCTGAGCTGTCCCTCCCGACCTGAGATCCAGACACGTGACCTGTTTCTCCTGCCCCGTTCCTGCCCCGCCACAGCCGCGCGCTGCCACTGTGAATGTGCGGCAAGCATCGACACCGAACGCTCCACCGATCGCTCACGGCCGGCACAGCACCCCACCTCCTCACTGCGCCTTCTTCTGCTTCTCCTCCATCTTTGCGACGCACCTGCCGCGGCGTTGGGGCGTCGGGCTAGGGTGGCGGAGGCGGAGGCGAGGGGGCGGCGAGGGAGAGGGCAGCGACGGCGGGGGCGGCGAGGGCGGAAGAGGTTCGGAGGCGGCGCTGTTGGCGGTGGACGAGGGCGGGCGAGGCGGCGGTGGGCCGGGTGCCGGCGGCGAGGGCGAGGGCTGTGAGGGCGGCGCAGCACTTCTTTCCGATCCGTGCGGCGGGGCTAGTCTCGGGTCATCTCGGGTCATCTCGTGGGAGCGTCGCACTTTTTGTTGAAGCGGACGGCGAGGTGCATCTTGAGGATGCCTTGCACGACGAGGAACTCCGGCAGCCGGTTGCCGAACCTGTGCAGAGACAGCGAGGGTCTCCCGGACCGCGCTGTGGATACGGCGTGCGGTCAGCCGAAGACTGTCGCTGCGCGCGGGCTATAGCTGGAGTGCAGGAGGGTAGGTGCAGGGGGGCTACGAGCGCATCTGACTAGGCGGACCAGATTGCGATCTCGTGCACCTGCGCAGCGGCGCAGCAACGGGCGTGTGTGTGTGGTGGGGGGGGGGGGGGGCAGATTGGGCGTTAGGGGCTGCGGGCCTTTGATGGGCCTCCGGAAAAGGGGGGAGGGGGGGGGGGCAAACCCAGTACGGCGAGATGAGCGTGTCCTGCCCGATTGCAGCGACGGCGGAGCGGGCGTACTTCTTCGGCGTGGGGACCATGAGGGTGGCGCGCTTCTCGGGAGGGACCTGCGTGTGGGTTCGGATCCATAGGGGGTAGGGGAGGGGCGCGAGGGTCGCATGCTTCTCGGGAGGCGTGTGGGCGAGGGGAGGGTGCGGGGGTGCGGGGGGGTGGGCGAGGGGGGGTGGGCGAGGGGGGGGGTGGACGGGCGAGGGTGTGCGAGGGTGTGCGAGGGTGCGTGAGGGGGTGCGGGGTGTGCAGGCGGGGCGGAGAGGTGTCGGCGTCTCGCTCACCTTCGAGTTTGGGAAGACCATCGGCGTCGCGACCCAGAGAGGCGACTGGCACTGGAAGTGGATGCCCTTGGCCTCGTACTCGCCGTGGCAGGAGCGAGTCAGGTTCTCGATGTAGCCCTGCCGAGGGAGGCCGAGGGCGAGGCGGGGGCGCGCGGGGTGAGAAGGCTCGCGCGGTGAGAAGGCTCGCGAAGCTCGAGCGAGGTGCGCGGGCGGGGCACACTCACGCACGCACGCACGCACACAGACACACGCACACACGCACGCACACGCACACACACACACACACTGTGTGTGTGTGTGTGTGTGTGTGTGTGTGTGTGTGTGTGTATGTGTGTGTGTGTGTGTGTGTGTGAGGCGTGTACGGCCGTCGGAGCGATCAGCAAGCCCAGCTGGCTCTCGGCTGGCTGTCGTCTGGCTCTCGGCTGGCTGTCGTCTGGCTGTCGTCTGGCTGTCGTCCCGATCTCGTCCGGATCTCGCCCCGCTCTCGGCTCTCGGCGCCTTAGCGGCCGAGTAGCCGGCGAGCAGCGGGAGCGGGAAGCGAGCCGCGGCAGAGGACTGGTTGACGATGGCGCCTGCCCGCCGGTTGACCATGCCGGGCAGCACCAGCTTGGTCATCCAGGTGGTGGACTCGACGTTGAGCTGCGGCGGTGGGAGGGCGGGGGAGTGAAACCTTCCTTCAGAGGGTCTGAGAAGGGTGGTGCGTGCGCGTGTGTGGTGTTGTGAGCGTGCGTAGTGTCTGCGCGCGGTCGTGCGTCTGGCTTGCAGCTGATAGCTGGTCGTGATCTGCAGCTAAGGGCTGGTCGTGGCTTGCAGCTACAGGCTGGTCGGGGCTTGCAGCTACAGGCTGGTCGTGCGTGTCCTCGCCTTGAGCAGGGCCTCCACCTCCGAGTCGAGAAGCTCGTGGAACCATTGCGAAAAGTCGTAGCTGACGCCGACGTTGTTGAAGAGCACGCCCACCTCCAGGCCGCCCAGCGACTTCTCAAGCTCGGACAGCCGGTCCTGCGCACCAGAGCGGGGAGACACCAGGCTGGAGACACCAGGCTGGAGACACCAGGCTGGAGACACCAGGCTGGAGACACCAGGCAGGCGAACAGCGCGTCGGCGCGGCGGTGGCTGGGCGAGCAGCGCCGGGTGGGCAGGCAGTGCCCACGGTGCTGGAGTGTGGACCAGTGGCGCCGGGCGGGCCAGAAGCGCCGAGTGGGGCGGATCCGAGCAGGGAGGGCGCGCCTTTGTGAGGTTACCAAAGTCGACGGCCTCGGTCTTGACGTCGACCTTCGGGTACGCCTCCTTGAGCTCCGCCGCCACGGCGTCGAGCTTCGACTGTGTCCGCGACACCAGCACCACCGAGCAGCCGCGGCGCGCCAGCTCAAACGAGATGGCCTTGCCGATGCCGTCGGTCGCGCCCGTCACGACCGCCCACTTGCCATACTTGGTGAGATCCTTCGGCGCGCGAAGGAGCCCCTTGTAGAAGACGTAGAGGAAGGAGACGAGCTCCTTGGCGAGGAAGAGCGTGCCGGCGACCCAAATGAGAGTGGAGAGCATGCTGAAGGAGGCCCCGCCGCCGCCGCCGCACCGCACACCTCGCCGAAGCGCCGATGCGGCTCCTTTGCGAGAAAAATTTCCGCGTACAAGAGGGTGGGCGACGCTGAACCACAGCGTGTCCCGGTCCGTATTTTCTCTTCTTATCCGTTACCATGTTGCATGTAGAGCAAGGCCGAGGGCGGGCCCTTTCGGGCTCGGGCCGCCCTCTCGCCCGCACCTCTGCATGGTAACGGATAAGAAGAGAAAATACGGACCGGGACACGCTGTGGTTCAGACGGACGCTACCACACTCCTCTCCTTAAAATCCCTGTGTGGTGGCGGCGTGCCGTCCTCCCATCCCTCTTTCTGATGCCTTGCTCGTTTACGTGTGAAGGTTTTAGGAGAGAGAGAGAGAGCTGTTTGTTTGTATAGGTTTTAGGTGCTCCTTGGGAGAGAGAGATTTTTAAAGACCAACAAGAAATCACGACTCTCACAGTGATTTGGGCTCGGCAGCTTGTTAGCCCTCAGCCGAAGCTGGGGCCGGTCCCGTAGCCGAGAGAGCCCGCGCCGATGAGTTCGACGCGGTCGGGGGGGCCTGCGAAGAGGCTAGCGAGATGGCGATCGCTGTACTTCAAGGGGGTCATCAAGTGACCGCGGCTGACAAGAACAAACAAAACTCTCTGACAAGCCAGAGGTCGATACTCTGGACGACCCATAGGTGCGGGTGTATTTTATTTTTGCTGGGCGGCCCTCATGATGGAATTCTGCAAAAACCTGGCCGGCCCCTGCCCCTACCTACCTACCTACCTACCTACCTACCTACCTACCCTACTTATGGGAAACTAAAAAAGAAATCATCGGATCGGTGAAGGTGGGGTACACGGGTACTAACTACTATACCAACTAAAGTGATGCTGGTGGTACTCTTCTGCAACCATAGTCCTTCCTGTGACATGGCAGGCCACTATCAAGCCCTACAAGCACCAGATCACCCATTTGGGGAGGGTTGACATCGTGATTTCCGCGGAAAAAATCTTTTTCTGCTGTGAAAATTCCAGCGTGAAGAGAGGGAAAACCCCGACGGGAGGGCCCAGACCTACCCTACCTACCCATCGTCATGAGGGCCGCCCCAAGCAAAAATAATACACACCTGCTTGGTGAGCTGTTTGTAGTTAGGATGCTCTTGCTTGTACCTAGGTACTTAGAAAGAGCCAGAGAGGATCACACCAAAGCCAAAGCACCTCAATCACCGGCCCAAAGCGGGTCGCTCGAGCGCCGACATGGCTGAGACGAAATCTGTCACGCAGCAAGATGACGGAGACGCAGCCGGCTCTAGCGTGGCCACCCTCGCAAGCGTGGCCGCCGCAGCGAGCGAGCCACAGCTGCGGCGTGTCAGCATCCGGCAATTCGCTTCTGGTAAGCTCTGCCGTGTGGCCACCGCAGCCGCTAGCGCCTGCATCGCCTCCTCGCCGCCCTCTACGGCGCGAGCTGCCTGCCGCACCGTCGACCGCCCAACGCCGAGCGACGTCGCCTTCTGCAACTTGACCTGCTCGCGGCAGCGCTTCGCCTCCTCCACCGCGGCCGCCTCCCTGACCACGTCTGGATCGCCAGCCACCAACGCGAGCACGGCCTCCGACAGCTTCGGCGACGAGCGGCTGCACCAGGCGGACCCACGGACGGCGTGCTCAGCGAGCCGCGAGGCGGAGGCAGGCCGAGTGAGCGCGAGCCGCATCGGCGCCCATGTCCCGCGCAGCGGCGAGCGAGCGGCACGGAAGAGTGCAATGTCGCCCCGCAAAAACGGGTCCCCCAAGGGTGAGCTCGCAATGTTTCTCTCTTTCACTGTGGCTTCCGTGCATTCGACGATGCCGCCGCCAGACGAGGCGAGCATCAAGTCAATGGGCGTCGATCGGCTGGTGGCGACGCTAGCAGAGTTTGGCACGGAGGACGAGCGCCTCGCCCGAGCGTGCTTCACCAGCCTTCTCTGTCGCGTGATGGACGAGGTTGCGCGGCAGGGGGAAGCGTATGCAGAGCTGCCTTTCGTCTGCGCAGTCACGGGCGCGATGCTCGCGCACAAGGCCACGCCCGAGTTCCTACAGACGGGTGGGATGCTACTCGCCCCCGTGCTCACCAGCTTGGCTCCGAGCCGTGAGGCCCTATCGATGGGCGCCGAGGCGTTGGTCGCGATGATGCTGCCGATGCTGCCGATGCTGCCGAGCTGTGAGCCAGCAGAGTGGTGCCCGCCGCAGCGTGGCTCGGCACGCGCGCACGCCGGGGCGCCTCTGATCACTGATGAGCGCGCATCTACTCCACCGGTCTTGGCGAGCGCGCTCTTCGTGCGTCTTGGAAAAGGCGTGCGAGGTGCGTGGTCCAGGGGCGAGGCCTGTCACGACCGGTCTGATATGTATGTATGTAGAAAGATGAACACAGTCAGGCTCGGACTGGACACCAACGCGGAGGCTTGTGATCTCGTGTGATCTCCGGCGGTCCGTCGCGGGCAAGAAGGCCGTCAATCCGGTGGTCCATCTGGCAACGTCGATGCTCGCCTTCCTTGCGGGATGCGTCAACGCCATTGGTGTCGCAATGTTCGCCGTGTCCATCGGCAACGTGACAGGCCTCGTGACGAATATTGCAATCCATCTCATCGACGACGACCCCATAGCAGCCGTCGTGCCTCTGCAATACTTCTCCTTCCTCCTTGGGTCGGTCGTCAGCGGCGTCCTCATCAGCTCGCGCAAGGTCGGATGGGGCACCGAGCTGTACGGGATCGTGCTCATGCTCGTGAGCGCCCTCATCTTTGTCGGATGGCGCACCGCGACCACCTCGGAGAACGTCGCCATTTGCGTGCTCGCCCTCTCGATGGGCCTCCAGAACGGCATGCTCACCAAGCACGCGCACGCCGTCGTTCGCACGACGCACATGACGGGCACCACGACGGACATTGGCGTGATTATCGGCCATCAGCTCGGCCGCAGGCTGCACGATCTCGCGATGAGGGAGCATCTCTTCTCGCGAGAGGGCTCGCAGCATGTGCAGCGGGAAAACACGCTGCGGAGGAGGAGGAGCGAGTGGGGCCAGATGCGGCTGCTCAGCCTCCTACTCGTCTCCTTCTTCTGCGGGTCCCTCACCGGCTTCAGCCTGTACCGCGCCTGGGGCGCCGACGCGCTCCTGCTGCCCGCCATCGCCGAGGCGGTGATGGGCTCGAGCTACTTTCTCTACTTCCATGCCCTGAAGTTGTGCCCGCGCCGGCACAGGCAGCTGCGCGCACCTCCGGCGCGTTCGACTGTCTGAGCACGACACCGTCTCCTGGCAGGGCAGAGCGTCCGCGAGACAACTAGGCGGACACTGTCGTCAGTGACCTGTGACTCTGTGAGGGTCCGCATGTGTGCGAACAATCTTTCTTTTTGTTTGTCGGCATCCCATGTTCCATGTTGTTCCATGTGTATGTGTGATGTGACCCACTCTGGCATTGCCATTGGCCATTGCTAAAACTCTCAAGATTAGATCGTACAAGAAGAGAGAGATCGATCGCCGTGCTAAGCTCGCTTCCGAGCTCTCACGCCGCGCGTAGGGCCCCTAGGGGCCTAGAGAACACAACCCCCTCTCTCTTTTCTCCCAGTAAGCTATAAGTACGTACAAGAAGAGAGGGGTGAACCGTGCCATCCTCGATCGCCGTGCAAAGCTCGCTTCCGAGCTCTCACGCCGCGCGTAGGGCCCTTAGGGGCCTAGAGAACACAACCCCCTCTCTCTTTTCTCCCAGTAAGCTATAAGTACGTACAAGAAGACTCAAAAACTCTCAAAACTCTCTCACTCTCTCTGCCACTCTGGTTTCAGGTCGCCTCACTCCTCACTGCTGTTTATTTGAAAGTGTCTTTTGAGGCCCCAGTAAAATTCTATATTCTTTGTGTACCGTCTACCGACAAAAACAAATCTCGGTCCCCCCATGTGTGTGCTAGTGTGCGCCAGTCCACGCACCCTTGTCAGTGTGCTGTGAGAGGCTTGATTTTAGAATGGTGTGCCGGTGTGTGTGCTAGTGTGCGCCCGTCCACTCTGCCCTCGGTGTGCACCCTAAAAAAAATGGTTGGAGGATCATTTTTTTGACATGGGGCACGATGGGCCGCAAAGCGGCCCGCCTTGGCGACGCGAAGGTCGCGCGTGCGTGCGCTGCGTGTGACCAGACGCTCACCAAGGCCGACTTCAGCCGGAGTCAGCTGAAAAAGGGTGGCATCTGCAGGTGCTGCTCTCAGGCCGCGGCTCAGTCGTCGCAGCCACCACCCGCCCAGGCTGTGGCCCAACCCCAGTCGGCGCAGCCGCGCGTCCAGCGCGATTCGACGAAGCCGCAGACAGCGGATGTACAGGACCTGTGTTTCCTCCCTGACACCCCAGCTGTCTCCAGCCTGCTGGCAGTCGGAAGCGACGGCAACGACGGCGACGGCGGCGGTGCAACCGCTCCGGAGGCGTTGTCATCCGCTGCGCTCGAGGCGGCGCGACTGCGTGCCGTCCGCTCGCTAGCGGGCACGTTTCGGACGCACTGCGCAGCGCTGGGCGTCAAGCGCTCGTGCGCCTTCTTCGAGAATTGGCTGTGGAGCGTGCGTGGTGAAGGCTTCAGCCTAGATGCGGAGCAGATGCGGAGCTCAGGTCTCTCGGCACTCGCCTGGAGAGAGAGAGAGAGACGCCGCGCCACGCTGTGACCACGAGGCTGCCGGTCGTGTGCAGTGCCTTTTCACCGCCCCGTCCCTCCCTCTCCGGCCTGCAGGCACCGCAGCCAGCGTGGTGCCGGCCCTCCCTCTGCCGGAGGCTGCCTCGCAGGCACGTCTCGACCGAGATGACCCGAGGTTGCCCGAGATGACCCGACATGGACCGAGATTGAGCCCTCTCTCTTCCCTCGAGATTGGCCCTCCCCTCTGTCGGCGGCCGCAGGCGCAGCTGGCCCTCGCGAGGCGGCTCGAGCACTGCGGCTTGTCGGAGCAGGCGGTTAGGGTTAGGGTTAGGGTTAGGGTTAGGGTTAGCGGCTCGAGCACTGCGGCTTGTCGGAGCAGGCGGTTAGGGTTAGGGTTAGGGTTAGGGTTAGGGTTAGGGTTAGGGTTAGGGTTAGGGTTAGCGGCTCGAGCACTGCGGCTTGTCGGAGCAGGCGGCGCGCGCAGCGTGTGAGGCGCTCGCCTCCCGCGCCTCTGCACTGGCTAGAGGCCTCGACGCCATCGACGGCGGCGGCGGCGGCGGCGGCGGCGGCGGCGGCGGCAGCAGCAGCCACGTCAGCGGCGGCGGCGGCGGTGGCGGCGGCGTGAAGCGATCGCGGCGCGGCTCTGTGAAGGCTGCGTCGTCTGTCGTGCTGACCCGCGGGCTTGCTCCTGGGATGGTCCGGCTCGCTTGCGGCGAGACTAATGATTTGTATATCACGGTTGACAACTGATAGATCATTCACAGGTCCGGCTCGCTTGCGGCGAGACTAATGATTTGTATATCACGGTTGACAACTGATAGATCATTCACAGGTCCGGCTCGCTTGCGGCGAGACTAATGATTTGTATATCACGGTTGACAACTGATAGATCATTCACAGGTCCGGCTCGCTTGCGGCGAGACGCACGTCTCTGTGAGCGAGGCGCACCTCGGCAAGCTCTGGGCGCGGCGCTGTAGATGCTCCTGCGCTGTAGATGCTCCTGCGCGCTGCAGATGCTTCTGCGCTGTGAGTGGCACTCGAGGCTGCATCTCCCCACACCTCCCCACATCTCCCCACATCTCCCTGTGAGCGGCACTCGAGGCTGCAGCGCGAGGCTCGCACTCTACCGCATCCCTCTGCGTGGACACGCCTCGGCCGCCGTGAGAAGCAAACCCCTTGCACGGGGCTCCGACTACACCACGGCCGCTGGTCACGCCCCCAGCCTCCTGCTGGACTGGTCTTCCCCTAGGCGCTGTACGCCCGCTCCCGCCCCTCGCCGATGCCTCCCGCGGCGGCGGAGCGGTTCCCGGAGGCGGCGTTCTGCGTGGTCGCTCGCCAGCTCTCCCTCCAGGTGGGACATGTCCGAGATATGTCTCGGACGCCTCCTGCCGACAAACAGCTTTCTCCCTCTCCCTCCCTCCCTCCCTCCCTCCCGCCCTCCCTCCCTCTCTCCCCCACCCCCCATTCGTGCCCTCGCCCACCCCCAGCCGTTGCCCCTCGCCCACCCCCAGCCGTTGCCCCTCGCCCACCCCCCCAGGGCGGCCACGAGGGTGCGGGCGGGATGCAGGTCGCCAGCCTAGGAGTGCACCGGCCAAGCGTGAGTCATGAGTCGACCCCCCATGCCCGCGGGGTGGGTGATGGCCAGGTAGTGGCTCACTCGATGTCCGCGGGTCGCAGGCCGCCTGCCCTCCCTCAGTCTTTGAGACGCTGCGGCAAGACCTCGGCATGCGACACGAGGGAAGAAGGGCCAGAGCCGCCTCGCTCCCTCACACTCGCGGCCGTGAGCAGGCGAGACGCGCTGAGCTCTTCGCCTCCCCACATCTCCCCACATCTCCCTCCATCTCCCCATATCTCCCCACATCTCCCCGCATCTCCCCACATCTCCCCACATCTCCCCACATCTCCCCACATCTCCCCACATCTCCCCGCATCTCCCCACATCTCCCCACATCTCCCCACATCTCCCCGCATCTCCCCACATCTCCCCGCATCTCCCCACATCTCCCCGCATCTCCCCACATCTCCCCACATCTCCCCGCATCTCCCCGCATCTCCCCACATCTCCCCACATCTCCCCACATCTCCCCACATCTCCCCACATCTCCCCACATCTCCCCACATCTCCCCACATCTCCCCACATCTCCCCACATCTCCCCACATCTCCCCACATCTCCCCATATCTCCCCACATCTCCCACATCTCCCCACATCTCCCCATATCTCCCCGCATCTCCCCACCTCTCCCCACCTCTCCCCACATCTCCCCACATCTCCCCACATCTCCCCATATCTCCCCACATCTCCCCACATCTCCCCATATCTCCCCACAGGCGTGACGCGCGAGCTCTTCGCCTCTCCTCTCAACTGCGCCTTCCCGCGCTTCTGCTCCGCGTCGGCCGACGTCGACGCCGACTTTGGCTCCGCCGGTCTCCTCCCGCCGCACGCGCTGCAGTCGTAAGCAGTCCCCCTTCACGTCTGCTGCTGCACTCAGGCTCCGCCTCCCTCCGCCCGCCGCTCCTCAGCCACTAGCTCGCTTCACCGCGCCTCGCCAGCACCCGCCAGGCTCCTTCTTCCTCTACACGCCTCGGCCGGGCGCCTACCTCGCCAACCCGCCCTTCGACCCTGCGGTGGTGGCGGCGATGGCGGTGCGGATGGAGGCGCCGCTCGACGCGCGGAGGGATGGCCCGAGATTGGCGCGAGATTGGCGCGAGATTGGCGCGAGATACGACCAGAGACTCGTCCGAGATGGCCCGAGATGTGGCGAGATGTGGCGAGAGTAGGCGCTGCTCGAGGCATCGGACCTCGCCGGCGAGCGGCTCACCTTTGTCTGCGTCGTCCCTGCGTGGACAAAGCCGCGCGGGCCGCACTTGCCCGCCTGGCAACAGCTGGCCGGCTCGCCCCACACCACGTGCGCTCTCACCCTCCCGAGGGCGCAGCACGCGTACGTCGACGGAGAGCAGCAGCTCCGCGGCAAGGGCCACGCTTGTGGGCGGTCGAGGCACGACACGTCGCTGCTGGTCCTGCAGAGCGCGGCCGCCGCGCGCGAGGTGCCCTTCACCGAGCCGATGCAGGCGCGGCTCCGCCGAGCCTTTCCCCTCGCTAATACGGGTGAACACCCGCTCCATAAAACGGCAAACGGGTGTTAACAAAAGGTGTCCCGCCAGATAGCCTGTGGGAGGGGGGAGAGACAGAGAGAACGTGATCGTGTAGCGTGGGGAGTGCGTGGGGGGTTATGTCTTACATGTATATGAGAGGAGTTACAGTGTCAGTGACTTCTGACCGCAGACTGGACGAGACATGTACATGCACCCTACCGGAGCCAGAGTGTGCAACATTAGTACATACCTCGATCGAGCGACACTCTCACAACTCACCTGTCCCCCTCTTATAGAGTCAGACGCTCACAACAGCCACTGCGCCGGAACGCCCTGCGTACGCGCCGCGGATTGCAGTGCCGCTGAGTCTCGGGTCAAGCTCCGCACGGCAGCGCGGCAGGCGAGGATCGCCGCGCAGTCCCCGTCCCACCGCCGCGCGACCGCGGCAACCGCTGGCAGCACGCCGGCTTCCATCGCCGCCGCTCGGCGCGCCGCCGCTCCCACTCCGGTCGCCAAGTGCTGAAGGAGGAGGCCGCAGGCGGCCACGGCGGAAGGGTCACCGCCGTGCGCGGCGAGGCAGTCCACGACCGCCCCCAGCGTGCCTGTCGGATCGGTGTGTGAGGTGACACGTCCGCAACTCTGTTGTGCAGATGCCAGCGTGGAGCTGCTAGCCAGCGCACCTGCCGCCAGCGCTGCGTCCTGCCGCTCTGCAGCTCCGGCGCAGAGCCTCGCGAGCGCCTTGGCGCAAGGCCGCGCCGCCTGCACGTCGCCGGATCGGAGGCACTCGACCAGCGCAGGCAAGCCGCGCACCGCGAGCTCACAGCAAGATGGCTCGCCGCTGAGTCTGAGAACCGACCGTGCCGCCGCCTCGGCGCCCTCGCCACCAGCCCGCACGCCCTCGAGCGCCTCGTCGATCGAGGTTGCAGCCGCGACCTCTGCCCGAAGCTCCGAGCGGCGCCTGCTGCGCTGCACGTTCTTGTGGTGGCGATGCGGCGCTGGCTCGGAGGGCGGCGGCGCGTCAAGGCTGCGTCTTCCGCGCATTAGACTTCACAGCGCACGCACAGCACCAACCCAGGGTTCCGGCTCCTACCCGAATAGGGGGTCTGCGGGTACTGACTCGCGCCAAAACGCCCTACCTACCTACCTATCCCCAGGCCGCGCAGCGAAGCGAAAAAAGATGAAAATAGGGGGTACCTTCCTATTGCAAGAGGATGACACATTTCTTGTTGGCTTCTAAAAATCTCAACAATCTCTCCTATTGCAGGGCCCTTTTGGGCCAAACAAGACCAACCTGCCTACCTATCTGGGAGGGGCCAGCCAGTGCCAACAGACCCCCTATCCGGGTAGGAGCCGGAACCCAGCCAGGAGGAAGTAAGAAACAATCACGGCGAACTTGCCTGGAAAAATCTAGACTCCAACGCAACTTCGCGGACAAGTCTGAACGCTGCTCGCGAAGGCTCGTCTCGGGTTGACTCGGCCCGACAAAACTCCGAGAGGCGTGGGAGTACCTCGCCAGCCTTGCACTAGAGCAAAATGGAGCTGAGCGAATACGAGCAGCAGCGCCTCCGCAACATGGCGACAAACGGCAGCGCTGGAGGCGCTCGGCATCGAGCCGGTTGCAAAGACGGCGACAACCCCGCCTCGGCCCAACAAGCGCAGTCGAGAGCCCCGACCGCCGACGCGTCAGTCGTCACGCAGCCGCTCTCTCCCCGTCCCTGCGTACACGCCTGGCCAGGATGAGGTGAGGAGAGCGAGCGAGGTCGAGGATGGCAGCCGGATGCAGGATGGGAAGTGGCTCGGCGAGAGGTTCGGCGAGATTCACGGCGTGCCTGTTGGGACAGTTTTCGGAGCAGGCGACTATCAGCGGCTCGGACGGCAGGAGATGATGGTGTCGGGCTTCTTTCGGCCATTTGTGACTCCGGAGTGGTGCACTCCGGGTGTCGGATGCTTTGCAATCATCGTCAACAACGACAACGGCGCCTCGCAAGACCGAGGGGACAGCATTCTGTACGCCGGATCGGGTGGCCGCCGCCGCGGGCAGAACCGGACGGCGCTGCAGTCGTTTGACCAGGACTGGACCAACGCGACCAACTCCGCATTGCGCCTCAACTTTGAGGCTGGCGAGCCGGTGCGCGTCGTTCGCGGCCCAAAGCTGCTGGGAGCCCATGGCACGGCGGAGAGCGGAGGCGGCTTCCGCTATGATGGCCTTTTCCGGGTCGCGTCGGCGGAGATGGTGCGTTCGCCGACCTCCGGGCTGCTGACGGCCATGTTCGAGCTGCGAAAGGTGTGCGGCGGGGAGGCGGAGGGAGCGCAGGCGGGCGGTGTGTCGGCGTGAGCTTTTCGTCGTCTGCTGCTGCTGCCTCTTATGGGGTGATATGCCAACTGCACAGCAGACGTGTTGTCAGTGGTTTTGGGGACGCTCGCGCGCTCGGCTGTCGCAAAGTCTCACAACACATATCAATTATCATAAAAACAATTCGTTTTCGGGAAATTCGCCTTCCTTTCCTTCGAGTTTCAGGAGTTTGTCATTTTGTGGATTGTGCGTCTCTTGTGTGCGAGAGGTTTTTCAGTGTATGTAGCTCTTACGAACATACCCGTAGGTGAACTGCTGACAGGGTTTGCGATGAGGAGCGATCCGAACGTGGTATTCGGGTGATTAGATCACTACCGCCGAAGCGCAAGCTTTTTCGTCTCTCTTGTTGCGGAGTTCGCGCGTTCGCGGCGCTCGGCATTACCCGGATAACATCAGTGGGCAGGTTTGAAATAGCAGCTACCTGTCACTCAAGAGCGTTCCGCTGCCACTCCACTGCCGGATTAGCAGCCGCACAAAGTACGCGATCTGAAGCCACATGACGAGGCAAAACACGTCGGTACCCGCAAGCCCCAGCCAGAGCCAGCGCGCCTCCTGTTCCATCGCATTACGCAGCTCACAGGAGAGCGAGACCACATAGAGAGCGGCCAGAGCGCTCGAGGCGAGCAGCAGCAGCGAGTATAGTCGGGCGGAGCGACGTGGCAACAAATGGAGCAGCGCCGCCAGCGTTGGCAAAGACGTGCACCTAAGCTTGGGACGGTCTGGTGATGGAGCACACCGGTAAGGGCGGCGATGAGGTTGGTGACAATGTAGCACAGCCGCACGTGTTGAATATTGTCGAGGTGTCGTCCATTGTTAGGCGCACAAAGTCCGCGGTGAAGGCGAGGCTGAGGAGATCCAGCGTGACCGACGCGCAGTTGAGCCACAGCATAGTGCGCAACGTCGATGAGAGCGATCCGGTGGTGTGTCCACACAGAAGCTGTGCCCAGAGAGGCGGCAGGGGCCTGGCCTCACCATCATCCACGCTGAAGCGGTTCGCTGTGAGCGTTGCGAGCGCGGCGGTCGTGCGCGCGGCTATGGCTGCGGCGGCAGAGCCACCCAGTACGGCGACGGTGACTTCGCTCCACGCTGTCATCGCCAGGTGCGTCCGGAGGGATCCACTGTCTCCTCGACCGGACGAGACACAGCCGCGCCAGCCGGAGCCGTCCGGAGCACGGACGGCCGAGTTCGCTTCCGAGCATTTCGATCGATCGACGATCGGGCATGAAGGCATCAGGAACATGCACATGTGCATGTCATAATCGGAGAGTTTGATGTGTTACGTGAGAGAGAGAGAGAAATTTTTTGTTATTTTTGTAACTTACAGGGAGCAACGGTGGAAGTAGGAAGAAAAACACGATCTCCAGACCGCACTCCAAGTGTGCTCGCTGCTCCCCAAAAGTGCTCAGTGGCGCGGATGCGGCATGCGCTCTCACACGTCACACCTCTCGCAACCCCAGTCCATAGAGCGCGATTGCTACTCGAGATAGTGTGGTATCATTGGGCCCCGCTCAAGGTTATGTCTTATGAGAGCGGCCATAACTAACAGGTTTTCTGCAGCTATGGCTGTTATGGCTGGCTGCTCATAACACCTCATAACACCTCATAACACCCCTTATAACACCTCATAAGCCCTCGTCATTTGACCTGCGCGTCTCCGACTTCAAGAAGACTCAGCAAGAAGGATTCCCGGCTTCAACTGTGCTGTCCGTGTCGTACGACTCACTGTGCTCTGAGATCCGAGAGGCGTGGGCCATCGACGCGTCAAACGGCCTGCAAATCTACCCCGCGTTTCCCGAGGCGGCGAGGGATCGAGGGACGAGTCCGCCGAGCGCGACGTTGTCACGCGAGACGCTGAGAAGCAGGTGTATGGCTAGTTCCATTTCACTCTGACACGCTAATCTTGAAAACGTCCAACGGAGCTCGGCGAAACGGCGAAACGGGGCCATGGCCGACGCTCGCGATGGCCCGTCCGTTGCGGCCAGGCGCAAACTGTGCGCGCAAGCCACAGGAGAGGCGGTGGCGCCGCAAGACGAGGCGATGATTCGCATCCTCTCGCAGCTCGCCGTGGAGCGCAACTGGTGGAGCTTCAGCGTCAACCCGACGCCCATGGGCAAGCAGTTCATTGTCCAGCCCCAGTCCCAGTGGGAGAGGGACAGGGAGCGGCAGCAGGCCAAGGAGGGCAGTGCCCCACCGCAGCCTGTGCCTGCTGCCACCTCCGCCGCGGCACCGCCCGCAGCACCGCCTGCCGCCGCTGCAGCTCCGGCCGCAGCACCGCAGGCACACCCGCAGCACCAACAGGTGCAGCAACCCCAGCCCAACGAGTCGCCCGAGGGGTGGACCAGGGTTGGGAAGGGCGGCATGCCGGACAGGTTCACCATGAGGAACCCTGGCCGCAAGCCGCCGGGCAAGGCGGTCAAGCGCAAGCCTGACCGCCAGCCCGCACCCATGGGAGGTGGACCCCCACCCCCTTCTCCCAAGGTGAACAAGAACAGGCTGAGCGCGCTGGGCGCTGGCCCTTCTGGCACCAGCGGGAGCCACGAGCGCGCACCGCCGCGCTCCCCCTCCCCCTCCTCGCCGCCTGCCGAATCACCGCGGCCGTCTGTGCCTGCTTCCGAGTATGACTCCGAGTTCGACTTTTCCGACGCTGAGGCGCAGGATAGGACGGCAGGGGTCGTACACGACGCAGTTCAGCAGGCTGTGATGCAATACGGCTATGACGACGAGCTCTTCCAGGCGTGGAGGGACGGCGAGATACGGCGAAAGGACTTGCCGGAGGAGGTGGTGGCTATGGCTTTGGACCTTTGCGAGAGGTGGCGAGCGGAGCAAGAGCGGTGTAGGCGCGTCCACGCGGCGCAGCGGCTCTCCCGCGACCCCGGCCCCTCTCATAGCCGCAGCCGTAGCCGCAGCCCCAACTCTTGCCGCTCTTCCGTGTCGGGTTGTGACGAGGGGTGAGGGGACACGGATTGAAGATCCCTCACACCAAGATCGTGCAGGGCGGGGACACATGTCAGGTAAATCCCATCTCGTCTCAGAGTTTGCCCGTTTTATTTATTTTATTTGGTGATCCGAGCACCCCGAGGTTTGATGATTGAATTTCGTAACTTGAGGGCAAAAGAGAAAATATTCGGCGAAGAGGTGAATCCAAAATTGCAAAAATATACCAGTGCGCAGTCGTTGTGGCGCGAGAGCTGTTCGGCGTGGAGGCCGGCACCGGGGACTCTCTCATAGCACATAGGACGACATAGCAGCCCCTAGAGCAGCCCATAACATGTTATGGCTGTTATGGCTGTTATGGGGCCGGCCCCATAACAGCCATGACAGCCATAACTTCAAACGTGTTAATTGTTATGGGGCCACTTATGGGCTGCTATGCCCACGCAGGGAGCCATAACACCATAACAATAACTGTGAGTGGGGCCAAGTATCAAACTACAAACATGGGAATAGGCGCATGAAAAGGGAAACAGCCTGTGATGAACTAGAATCTAGTCAGCGCGGTGGCCTCCGATGCTGTGCTGCTCGTGCAGGGTGCTCTCCCGCCCGAAGCGGCCTGGCGGCGCCCCTCTGACCGCCGCGAGGTACTGCGCCTCGCCCACGAGCTGCGAGGCGGCGAGGCCCGGCCGGTCGACGTGCAGGGTGGCCAGCACCGTCTCGGGGCCGAGGCGCCGCGCGTCGTCGTCCGAGCACAGCCCGAGGAGCGTGCCTCCAAAGGGCGAGTGCAGCGGGTGTGCACCCTCGACGAGCGCCCACTGCGTGTGGTAGAGCTCGTCAGCTGTGCTGACGCGATGGGCCTCCCAGTCCAGCGTCAGGAGGGCAGCGCCAGCCTCGACCCTGTTGCCAGGAGCCGTGGGTCCGTGCCCGACAGCGATCACATCACCGATGTCCTCCAGCGCATGCACAGTCAGCCCGACCTCGACGCGCCACGCCGAGCGGGCGGCGACCAGGCCAGCACCACCCGCTGGAGCACGCCGTAGCCTGGCCCACAAGTGGCCGGCCGGGCAGAAGAGGGTTCGTGACATGTCACGGAGCGAGTAGTGAACAACCCCCGGCGCCGCAGTAAATTCGCTGAAGCGCGTACAGTCAAAAGAATTTTACAGGAGGATTCTTGGAGCCGACCTCTGAGAAGCGCGTTCTGGGGATGCGGAGCGTGCAAGGCGGCTAGGGATGAGGCCACAAAAGAGGCGCGCGAGGCAAGGAGGAGACGCGGAGAACTGAGAGACTGGGACGACTGGAAACAAGAAGACAGTGAGCCACCACAGGCGTCGTTGGCGCACATACTGAGCGGCAGCTGCGCTGGAAATAAGGAAGAGGCGCGTCACTTCATGCGGAAGCTAGACAAACACACGGCGAGGGCGACAGCAATAGTCGAACGGGCGGCGCCGGACTCAAAAGACACCGCTACATTCCTGAGACGCGCGAGGGCAGCCTCCTTAAAGGCAATGGGGTCTAGATTCGGAGCGCTCGCCGAAGGGGAGTACGACAAAATAGCGCCCGTGATTGCCTGCACGCTGCCCGCACTCACGGACACCATAACCGAAAGAAAGAGAGGGGAGCTCGCGGGAGAGGTGACGAGTGAACTACAGGTAGTGGGGAAGGCAGCCTCGATGGCCATACAGACATGGGTGCGAAACAACGACAAGACCAAGGCACGGGCAGAGGAACGAGAGAAGAATATAGAGTGGATAAAGCGCCTGTTCACGGCATGGAGGGTAAGCCACGCCGAACGCAAGGAAGCCGGGGAAGACGACCCCGAGGAGGACGAAACAAAAGTGGAAATCCCGCCGTCAGCTGTCACAATATACCCGAAGGGAACCCCAGTGCCAACACCGACCATTGAGGTACAAGTGCTCGAAACGAGAGTGGACCTGAGCAACGACATGACAGGGCGGGATATGCTCGCAGTGGGAGTCAGAAATGTGGTCCTTGCGCGAGGAATGCTCGATAAACTCGATGTGTCGTGTGGCCCGGTGGGCACCGCCCACCCGTGGCAATGACTATTCGCGTGTGTGTGGGATCAGGGGCGGTGTCGCCTCTGTACACTTGTCCGCCGATGGATGGAGGGATGGCTCTGCTCCAGGCTGGACAGTCCTCTAGGTAGAGGCTCGAGGTGTGTCTGTGTGTTTGCTTCTGTGGACTGTGCTGAGGCCTTCGCTTGGCCTGAACCTGCTCTGTCACCTCTCTGTGCGTCTTCGACTCGTTTGTGCGCGCGGTGCGTGGTCCTTGGCGCACATCGACGAGTGACCCTCTCTATTGTCCGCGTACCGCGTGTCTGACTCTTAAGCTTGACTCGCATGGCTTTTAATTATATGGAGCGCGCCCGCCATACACAGTAATTATAACGGGGACGGGACAGGCACGCGGCTCTGTGCTCACCCTGCGTCGTGCCCCTGCACTCCGGTGGGCTGGATGCACTCGCAATCCGGATATATCACCGAGAGCCTCGCACATCTGCTCTATTGCGCTGCTGCGTCGGGCGGACAACACCCGTCGTGGGAGGACAGGTGGGACAGCGCACCCGCACTCCGTCGAGCCCAAGCGGCTTTGTGCCATCGGCTGAGCATCTCTGACTCACATCCACAATCCCCGCGGTACACATGCCGCGCTCGCCTAGACAGCCGCGCTGGAGCAGGCAAACCAACCGCCTCTGGTGTACAAACGTACAGTCCGCCGATGCTACCCTGGTATCGGCCGCGCGGGCAACAGCGACAAGTTGTGCGCGCGCAGGAGCTCGGCGAGGGTTCGCTGCCAGGGCGCGTAAAACTGGTGCAGAGTCGCGTTGACCTCTGGCGAGGGCGGCGTCTTGTCCCACCTGAGTCGCGGAGGCGCGCTGGGAGGTCGGGAAGCGTGGGGGGCGCGTAGGTTCGTGGGTGGGTGTGGTCAGAGGCGAGTCCCTCGCAGGTGTCCCTCGCAGAGGGGCGTCCAGTGAGAGGGCGGAGGGCGGCGAGTGCGGGGCGGCGGCCGGGTTGGGACGCCCCTCGCCGATCCCGCACCGGCCTCTCAGCGATCTCTCAGCAATCTCTCGGCGCTCTCCCGGCTACCTCCCTCGCCTCTCGCTCGACGACTTCGACTTGCCGATGACCCAAAGACCCTTCTCGTTCCTCGTCGCCGAGGCGCGGTAGTCGTGGGGCGGCAAGCCGAGGAAGCGCTGGTGGCGGGGAGGGTAGAGCTCTAGGCGTGAGGAAGAGCAAGACGCGCAAGGCCGAGCTGAAGGCATCGGTGGCAGCAGGCGAGGGCGGCGAGAGGGCGGCCGCGCGAGTCTGTGGCAGCCCTCTGTGTAACACTCTGGCACGCAAGGGAGGGACGGCGGAAGGGTCTCGGAAGTCACCTGCACCGCGTCCATGCACTCGAAGGGCTCCGACTTGAAGTGCTCGAGCCTACGCGGGTGGAGGCGTGTCGGCCGTGTCGCGGGTCCGTACTCCACGCGCCGCCGCCTCGCAGCGCTTCGAGCCAGAGGATGCGCATCTGTGCGGCGTCGAAGTGCTCGAGCCAGCGGTGCAGGTGGGCCGAGTACCTGCGGCGGGCGAGTGAGCGGTGTGGACGCGTGATGGGCGAGGGCGGCGATGCGACGCCGCAGGGCGAAAACGGGGCGCGACTCGAAGCGACGGGGAGCTAAGAGGAGGCGGAGAGGAGGCGGCGAGGAGGCGGAAGGAGGCGGAGAGGAGGCGAGAGGAGGCGAGAGGAAAGCCTCGTGCCCAGGAGGGTGTGGGAGGCGGGTGGCAGGTAGGTGTAGCGCGCACATGCCCATCGTCAGCAGCCGCTTGAGCTGCGGCGAGAGATGCCTGATCCATCCATTCGTTCCGTCATGGTGGCGAACGCCGCGAGCGGCCGCTGCAGCAGCAGCAGGGCGAGGCGCTCCTCCGGCGAAGGCGAGGCACGGATCCGGAGGCGGAGCGGGTGAGCGCCGAGCCGATGGCCTCGTCGATGCTGGCCTGGCACCACTTGCCGTGGATGTGTCCGGCGCACATCTGCAGCGGCCGCGCAGAAGGAGCGGTGAGGGGTGTGGTGGCGGGAGTGGTGGGCGGGCGGGGGTTCCGGAGATGGTCTTGGGAGAGTCTTGGCGCGGTGCCACGGCTGAGTCCCGGAGGAGGGGAGGGGCGGAGGGGAGGGGCGGAGGGGAGGGGGGGGGGGCGGAGGGAGAGGGGCGGTGAGGGAGGGAGGCTGGCCTGGTGTGCGGACACGGGAGAGGGGCGGTGAGGGAGGGAGGGGAGGCCTGGTAGGCGGAGATGGCGCGCGCCGCCGGTGCGCGCAGCATCACGAGCAGCTCGGCGCGCGGGACGGCGCAGCTGCGGCAGAGGGGGGGGGGAGGGGGGGGGAGGGGTGAAGGCGGGGCGGGTGGAGCGGGAGGGCGGGAGAGGCCGAGCGACGGAGGAGAGACGGGTGGAGGACGGCTGGGCGGCGGGGCGAGGAGTGCGCACGCGAGCAGCGCCGGGTTCGAGAGGTCAAAGTACGCGGGCGTCTTCTCGTAGGCCAGCCGCCTGAGGAGCAGGGGCTCGAAGGAAGCTGGCGGCGAGCTCCCCGGAGATACGCCGTCGGGTCGGGGCGGTGCGTCGGCGAGTACGCCGGGCGGCAACGTCGTCCGGTCTCGAGGTGGTCTGTGTGTGGCGTGAGCGAGTGCGTGGCATGAGCCGGTGCAGGTGGGTCCTCAACCCTTTCTCACGTGCGGACGCCACCTTACAAGCGGCGCGCCGGCAGCCATCGCGCTCGACGCGGCGGCGCCCACATTGTCTCGGCTCAGCGGCCGGCGGTGCCACAGGTGCCTCGCGTAGCGCTGCCGCAAGTTTGTGCGTTGCCGTTGTCCGCAGCGCAGCATCGCAGCAGACGGCCGGAGCCCGTCGAAAAAGTGGACCTCGCCCCCGTGCGCCAGCATGAGCGGGTGCGCCCCAAGCCACGTCTGCAGCTCGCCCGTGCCTGCCTTCTGCACGCCGATGTTGACCACCGCCGGCAGGCAAAACAGGCCGCGTGGGGCCTCGAGGCAGTCGCCAGCCTCTGCGACGCCAGCCTCGCTCAGAGGCAGCAGGCGGTGGGTCAACTTGGAGTTCATCGCGCCGCGCGAGCGAGTCGCGCGCGCTTTTCTTTTCGCCACGGCGTCACCTGAGTCGACCTCGGAGCCCTGTTCCGGCTAGCGTAGGTAGCCTATGGCTATGCCGGTCACCAGCGGCCCTGCCCCTGCCGAAAGCAGCCGAGAAGCCGAGAACCCACAACCCTGGGCGGCTGGGCCCAAGTGCCAAGAGAGTAGTCAGTAGAAAAAAAAATTGCGTTTTACCTGCGAAAGACACTACTCTCCCCCCCCCGTCACTTGTCCCCCTTGGCGTGGCGCGCCTCTCCCCCAGCTCTCGGTATCGCGTACTGCACGAGGCTACCGTGGGCCCCGCCTGCGCGCTGGGGGTTTCCTGCCCTGTCGGGAAGCCTAGCTCTGAACCTGGGGTCGCTACCTAATGCGGGGCTCCTGGACGGGTGATGAAGTTCGCCTTGAATCTCTCGTCTCGCTTTCCCCCCTACTCGCGTCCATCGGGGGTACTCCCGTGCCTTGGCTCTCTGATCTCCCCCTCCCCCCCCACCCCCTCCTTCCCTCTCCGGGATGAGAAGCGCGCTGCTGTCCCTAGAGTGGGGTCGGGTGTTGGGGGAATTGATTAGGCACCATGTTGTCCGCGGCCGCCCACGGACGATCGCCGGAGTGGGCCGAAGGACAGAGGCTTGCCTGCGTGGGGGCGCGCGGGCGCCCACTCAGGCTCGGCCTCCGTTGTCTCAGCCTTCAGTTCACCTCTCCTAGCGCCCGGTTTTGCGTGGCGACCTTCATTTCGGGGTCGAAGGTGCTACACACACTTGCCCCCTGGTGGTCTGGCACTCGGCGTTATACCTACTGGGGTTAGGCTGTTTTTCTTTTATTTTCTGAATTCACGCGGTGTTCTTTCTTTCCTGTCAGTTTGGCGTTATCCCTACTGGGGTTAGGCTGTTTTTCTTTTATTTTCTGAGCCTCGGGGGGGCGGGGGGGAGGGGGGAAGTGGGTCCCCGCGGTGTTTTTTCTTTCCTGTCAGTTTTCTTTCTATTCTATAACGAGCTTTTTTCTTTTTGGTTTCTTTTTATGCTTATGGCAGTAAAAAGAACTTTGTCGTTTGTGCGGCAGGCGCGGGCTCGGTCGATATCCCATACTTCGACTCACATCTTCACTGCTGCGGTGAGTGCCCGGGGAGGCGCGGCGGCGGGGTGAATGAAAAGGTCTCAGAATGCACAGAGAAAGAAAACTGGTAACTGCAGGCAGTTTCTCTGATCGGGCTGCTGGCGGTGTGAGCGCGAGACGGCGTGGTGAGGCGTGAGGCAGGCTATTGTTGTGGGGTGCGGGCTGCGTCGTTAGGCGTATGCGTGCACATGGTGCTGTATGCTGTGTACTTTGCTGTGTGTGCAGGCAGGCTGGCAGTGTGTGCTCTGTGCTGTGTGCAGGCAGACTGGACAGCGGACTGAACGGATGGCGGAGCGTGCGCGCAGCGTGCCACGCGCGCGCCTCGTGCAGTGCAGACCAGGCGCGTGGCGGCAGGGGCGCAGCGCGGAGCACGCGGGCTGAATGTTCAGAACAAGCAGGGTTGCTGTGTAGTCTGCATGCAGACTGCACAGCAGCCCTGCTCGGGTAACGTAGCGCGAGCTCGGTGGCCTGCGCGCGCGGCGTGCCGCCGCGCGCGCCTCGCGGTGAAGCGTCTTGCCGGTCGCGTCGCGCTCCGGTGCGGTATGGTGCCTGAAGAAGGTGCAGGCGCTTGTGCAATGGGCGCAGACTGCAGTGAGAGGTGCACTGCGGCGCGCGCGTCGCGGCGTGAGTGGTCGTGCGCCTGGGTCTGGTGGTGCGAGAGGCGCGTGGCTGGTGCGGGCGGCGCGGGCCGGCCATGGGGTGCCAGCACAGAGCAGACGCACATGGCACAGCTCTGAAATGGCGCTGCGCGTGTTTGCGTGCGCGCGGGGACGTACGCGCAGTTTTCACGCGGTGTGCGTGGAGAAGGGCATGAGAGGCGCCGGCCGCGCGTGGCTCGGCGTGTGGGAGTGTTGGGGTGCCCGTAGGCGCGTGGGAAGGTGCCCGAAGGGCGATCATTTTCGGGGTGCTGAAGGAACTGTTGTTCACAGCTTGAGAGTAGTCAGTAGAGACGACCGCGCCAACCGGGCGTTGCGCGTTGCCGGCCTGCGCCCGCAACGGGGCGGCTTCAACCAACGCGAAACCCGAAACTCGCTACCATCGGGACTTAGTTTGAGAGTTGCACAGAGCGCAAGGCGGATCGTAACGAAGTACACGCCACCGGGGCGCGCAAGAGTCTGCGTCTCGCTGCAACCCACCCCTGCGGGCCCTGCATACTCTCTCGCCGCCCCAGAATTTGCGGCACAGTAGCAAGTTGTAGCATGGGCGGGATGGGAGTGGGCACGAGGGGGGTGGGGGTGGATGGTGAGCTTCCCCTCTGCAAGGCACCCTCACAGCGGGCCGTACGGCAGCTTGTCGCCCGCAATGAACTTTCGCTCCACGCCGCTCTCGTCGATGATGGCCATCCGGATGATTCCGCCCGAGGAGCCGTCGCGCGCCTGCCGGAAAGGGAAGGGAACGGGGGGTGGGGGGGGGGGCGAGGAGCAGCGTGTCTGTCTGTCCTCTTTTGGAGGAGCGTGAGGGGGCGTGAGGGGTCGTGAGGGGTCGTGGACGGGTGAAGGGCCCCGCGGTGGCTCTGCGGAGAGGGGCGGCGGGGGTAGCGGAGAGGGGCGGCGGGTGTAGCAACGCGCCATGGCGTGGCACAAGCCCTTCGTCACGAAGTCCTCGCACTGCTGCTTTGTCATGCCCGGCTTGAAGAAGGCGTCGCAAAAGCCGTAGATGTACCTGTGGCGCAAGGCCCCGGCGGAGGTCAAGGGAGAGCATGGCTGCCGCGTGTCCGAGTCGGTCAGCGCACGTCGAGCCGGAGCCGCCCGTCGCGTACTCTCGCTCCATCAGCGCGCCTGGGAGAAGGGGGGGGTGGGGGGGGTGGAGGGGGGTTCTTCCTTCCCCCGGCCCTGCCCTGTGGCTCGCTCCGGCAGGCAAGGCGTGGGCCCTCGCCCCCAGGTGGCAAGCCCCAGGGGGGAAAGGGCGCGGGGGATGGCAGGGCGGGGAGGGCGTGAGGCAGAGGGGGTGTGTTGTGGGGGGGAGAGGGGGCGACGGAGGCGGCTGGGCGGTTGGCAGAGGCGCCGCAGAGGCGCGGCGCGCACCCCCGATCGGCAGCGCAAAGACCTGCCCGCCCTTCTCCTTGTCCCAGCCGGCCACGATGATGCCCGCCGTGAGCATGTTTTTGTTCTGGTAGCAGAGCATCTGGAAGAGGTTGGCTGCTGTGGCAACCTGACAGGGAGGTGGGCGGGGGGCGCCGCTTCGAACACGTGCAGCCGCCTTGCAGCGGCGGCCCCAGGGGGGCGGGGCGGCCCCAGGGGGGGCGGGGCAGCTGCGGCCGAGGCGGAGCTGCAAAGAGGTCCGGATCCGAGGGGTGCGGGCGGGGGCGAGAGGTCCCCGCGCCTTTGGCGGCTGCCCGTACTCCATCCGGTGCTGGTCCAGGAAGTAGCGCACGTAGTCGCTCACCGCCTGACAGGTTGGGGCGAGATGTGGGTCCGGGGGGAGGCCGACAGCGCGCGCAAGCGCAGTCCTCCCAGGGCCAGCGGGCGGTAGGAGCGGGGCTCTTGCCTGCGTGTCGGCGGCGGAGCCAGAGCGGCAGCAGTAGATCCGGTCGTCGACAGCGGTGATCTTGTCGGACGCGCGGTTGGAGATGTACACGCCTGGGGGGAAGGAGGAGAGGCGCGGTGAGGATTAGGCGCGGCGAATACGGCCGCAACTCGAGGGAGGGCAACTCGACACCCCAAAGGCGCGCTGCGGGGCAGGCGCGCGGGCGCGCACCGGTGGAGACTCGGGAGTCGGCTCCGACGATCACGCCGCCGTCATACTGGACGGCCATGATGGTGGTCTGCGCCGGGGAACGGGCGGGAGAGGGCTCAGGCACGGTGCGGTTGCTTTGTCGCTGCTTCTCCCCGCCGGCGCGCACCCCCGTGTCAACCTCCTTGCCGAGGAAGTTGAGCCCGTTGTCCTGCTGCAGCGTCGTCCCAGCGTCGTACGACGCCTCCATCACATTGGCCGGGTTGAGCAGCTCTCGCCCAGCGAACGAGCTCATGGCAGCAGCTCCCGGCGCCGACTGAGCAACTAACCCAGACACCGACACAAAAGAATTTCGCCTCCGCCATCTTCGCTTCGCACACGCAACCACCACGCCGCAATCGTCGCCGGCGCGCGACACGTTCTCGTCAGCAGGACTGTCCTCGTCGAGTGTGTGTCGCCAAGGCGAGACACACTCAGGGACGACGGTGCCGACGGGGGGGACGCGGCTCGAAGGGCGTGCACTGGCACTAACACAGACAAAAGAATTTAAACAACAGAAGTCTCGCTCACAGCAGACAGGCTCGACACAGGTGCGAACTGGCGCGTGCTAGCACTATCACAGGCACACCAAAAACTCTCAGGCACACCACAAGAAGAGGGCTAACAAGCTGCCGAGCCCAAATCACTGTGAGAGTCGTGATTTCTTGTTGGTTTCCTAAAATCTCTCTCACACCACCGGAGCCGCCAAAAGAAGTTCGGTGTTTTCGCCCCGGAGAGGAATCACACACTCGTCACTCCCCGTGTGATGCACGCCCTGCGAGCGGGGCGGGGTGCGCGCTGTGCCTCTTCCTTGCCTCTGTGTTCGTGCGTCGCCACTGGAGATGCCTCTTGCGATTTATTTTATTTATGCATTCGTGGTTTCGAGAGAGATTTTAGAAACCCAACAAGAAATCACGACTCTCACAGTGATTTGGGCTCGGCAGCTTGTTAGCCCTCAGCCATAGCTGGGGCCGGTCCCGTAGCGAGAGAGCCCGCGCCGTGAGTTCGACGCGGTCGGGAGGCCTTGCGGAGAGGCCAGCGAGGTGGCGATCGCTGTACTTCATGGTCGTCATCAAGTGACCGCGACTGACAAGCCAGAGGTCGATACTCTGGACGACCCATAGGATTGCCACGAATGCCTGAAGGAGAGGGAGGCGAGGCCAGAGGCAGGCTCAGCTGCTCTCGGGTGATCTCGCTTTGGTGGCCGAAGGACCCGATGGTCGTGTCACATTCGCGTTCCGAGTCGTGGGGGTAGAAGAATTCGAGGTAGAGTTGAGTCAGCACATCCTTGTCGGCGACCTCGACCGACTATGGAGGACCCGTCACCAGACGACGCAGAGCAGACGACGGGGAGGCGGAGCAGACGCGCAGGGCGAGACGAGGGAGGGAGCAGGATGTTGCGGAGATCAGCACGAGGATGTACGACGAGATTAGGAGCAGCAGGGACCCGAGGGACCATGTGGAAGACGGCTAGTGCTAGTCCCCCATCGGGAGGACGACCCCGGCTAGTCGCCGACCACACCCACAAAGAACCCTGCACAAAGACCGCAGGGCGGGGACCTGTTCCTTTTTACCCATCTCCTAGTAGAGGTGTCCGTTTTATTTATTTATTTAGTACAGCGGACCGCCAGGCTCGCCGGCAGCATCCGCAGGGGAGGCAGCATATGAGGCACCAGTCTTCTGCGTTCTGGAGAGCTCAACAGCTGCGGCCGCGATGGCGGAGTCGGCCGCGGTTCGAGCGAGCAGCTTTTGGCTGCGGGATCTCTTCTCTTCTTGGTTTCGTGCGATGAAATCCGTATCCCATCTTCTTTCTTTCTGAAGAGAGATTTTCTCTAAGACTTAAGTCGACGGCTGCCAAGCAAGCAAGAAGAAAGGAAGGATGCCTCTCTCTCTCTCTCTCTCTCTCTCTCTCTCTCTCTCTCTCTCTCTCTCTCTCTCTCTCTCTCTCTCTCTCTCTCTCTCTCTGCTGCCACTCCCCCATCAAAAGTGTGCTGGCTGCGCGGGCTGCTGCCTGCGCAACCCATGGCCATCGCCTAGCCAACGCAAGCAAAACGTCTAAAACCGTCGCACAATCAACACGGCCCGCGTGTGTAACGGTCTCGAGAATCGCGGCGGACTCGGCCCATCGCGACGCAGCGGACGCCGGGCGGGCAGGTGGAGCCGGCAACAAATGGCCTCCTTGCTGCGGCGCAACGCCTCCTTTGGGCGCAAGGCGAAGGCGGCTGCACGCGACAACGGCATCCGCGAGGGCGGCACAATCTTCCGCGAGCCTGCCGAGGCGTCCGACACAGAGGTAGAGGAGTCTGCAGACACGGAGGGTGGCGGTGACGTGGGACGCGCGCGGCGGACGTCCTCCTTTGGCCGTGCGCCGCGGCCACTCTCCGCAAGCGGCGACATCGCCGCGGACTGCTCGTCCTCCTCGCAGCCGTCGCCCACGAGCACCGCCTCGTCAAAGGAGGCGGACCAGGCAGCTGTCCCCGCCCGCCGCTCCGAGATCGAGCTCTAGCCCACCCATCGACCACTGCCAGCACCAGACTTGGGCTCCGCGGTCTCGCGGTCCCGACCGTGAAAGCACCCGCTGGCCACAACTGCGGCGCCGCCTACCCTCTCCGGCTCTCACCCTTTTGCCCTTGGCAATCAGACCGCCGAGGCCGAGGCGCTGTCTCCGACGCGGGGGCTGGGATCGCTGCACGGCTGGCTACTCAAGAAGCACTCTCGCGACAAGACCGTCTCAGCGCAATGGGCCAAGGTGGGAGCCTTTCTCCGACCGCCAGCCCCGCACGACGCTCCGTTGACACGCCAGCGGATGCACAATGTCCCCCGGTGGCGCCGGTCTTCTGACGACGCCCCCGATGCTGCAGCGCTACTTCACCGTGGACGATCTGCGCGGCACCCTCGCCTACTCGAAGAGCGTCACCAAGAAGCCCTCCGTCGTCCTCCCGCTGACCGACATCACAAAGGCCACGCCGCCACGCTGGAGAGACGCTCCTGCACACACCCACCCTCGGCCCCTCACTCGTCACGACTCGTCCCCGTCCCGCCGCTGCAACCCACGCACCTCTCTTCAACCAACGCCCTCGCCGCCGCCTCTGACCCAGTCATTGCCGCCGATTTCCCAGATCGAGGCTGCCGACCTCGAATCGTGCCACGGCGCCTCCTTCCCTTTCGTCGTCTCTTGCCCGCCCGTCCACCTCGTCCTCGCCGCCGAGGACCGCCAGGACCAGCGGCTCTGGATCACGGGCCTGCAGAAACGCGTCCAGCTCTGGAGAGACAAGCAAGCCTCGGGCCCGGCGGCCGCCGCCGTGGCGGTCAACATTGCGGACGGCAACGCGGGCTACGTGGTACCGGACAAGGACCCGGAGCCGATCGACCTCAGCAGTCTAGGCGGGGCCGCCTTCGAGGCGGCGCGCGAGGCGCTCAACATGTGGGAGAAGCAGGCGTCGGACTCTGGCTCCGAAAAGGCTGGCTCGCTGCGGCCGGCGGCGGCCGAGACCGAGAAGGCGAGGCCGCCCGCAAAGAAGAAGAAGAAGAAGACGGCGACGAAGAAGAGCCAGGAGCCCACCGGTGACGACGCCCATCACACGAGCCGCGAGGCCGCGGACGCGACTTCTGCCGCGGAGGATCTCGAGGGGGAGGACAAGCCTTCGGGCAGCCCCGTCGCTGCCACCAAGAAGAAGAAGAAGAAGAACAAGAAGCAGGAGGCCCCCATCGAGGCGGGGGAGGATGGAGGGGCTGGAGGGCCTCGCAGCGATAGCGAGAACGAGACTCGCCCGCTTCGAGAGCACTCGGGGAGGGCCGCCTCGGCCAGGCGCGACGCCGATGCGGAGGAGGGGCGGCTCCCAGGTCGCAGCCCACCGCCGCGGTCAAAATCGCGCGCCTTGCGATCAGCTGGCGAGGCCGAGTACGAGGCGGAGGAGGAGCGGGAACCGCCGCCGGCCGAACGGGGGGCCCCTTCGGTCTCCCGCCCGGGGTCTCGCGAGGCGGCCTGCAGAGAAGAGCACGACTACGCTCAGCTGCAGACGCCACCTCGGGAGGGGCGGGCAATTGGCGGCGGGTCGATGTTTAAGCGGATCGCGAGCCCGGCCGCAAAGGCAGCCGACGAGCCGGCGGACTCGGCAAGCGAGGACGAGGACGACGCCGGGCTTTCTCGGCATGTGGTGCCCGCAGCGAACGACCTCTCCTCGTCGCTGCGCCCTAGGCACACTCGCCTGACCCCGCCCCCCCTCAATTCTGCCCGCTTACGACGCCCCCGCCTCTGCCCATTCAGCCGACCCCTCGAGGAGCTGCTCTCCTCGGACGACGATGAGCCGGAGGACTACTCCATCCCGTCGCACGTTCCCATGCCCGAGCGCGCCGTGCCAGCGCTCGATCCGCCACCAGCCTCACTGCTGGGGACGCGGTCACCGGGATCGGCGCCGCCACCGCCGCCGCCCGCAGCGTCGCCTGGCGGAGGCTCTGCAGTTTCTCCGGACGCACCGGGACAGCGGACGACGCCATGGGCCCGGAATGATCCGCTAGCAGGCCAGAGCGTGGGTATCACGGACGACTTGGGCAGTACGACCAAGACGGCGGCTGATGAGGACTGGGACGACGAGGACGAGGACGAGGACGAGGAGGAACAGGAAGCGGAGCGGTCGAGAGCAGCAGCAAAGGTGGCGTCGGCAGTGAATGGCGACAGCCTGGAGGATGATTGGGATTCGGACGAGGAGTGAAGGCTACTGCACTCTTGCACGCTCGAATCTGCGTCCGCACCTGACCTCGTTCGATCGCCTGGCTGGTCCCCAAACACGCTGTTTGAACGCCATGGTGATTGTGCACGTATTTGTTGCTACAGTGCACAGAGAAAAAAATCATCTGGAATAATAGATGATAACGCTTAACGGCGACTGTTCCCTTTCTCTCTTAGAGAGCTCTCTTGTGTGAATAGTCGCGCTTGTGGTGTGTCGGAGGAGGGGGGATCTTCAAGGGACGGCGCGCGGCCGCGTCGCAGGCGTCAACCTCTTCGACCGACGTAATTCCCTCAAGCGTATCTAAATCACAGCACGACACGTCACAATGAACACACAAAGGTCAAAGCACAACACTGGGATACACGTGGGATATGACGTGGGACACAACCACAAGAGGCGAGAGAGGTGCGCGCGTCAATCATAGCCGCTCCTACCGTTTATCGCTATCATAAGCCCGATTGGCGTCGTGCGAAAGACGTGAATGATGTAGAGCACCGCAAGCACGGTTGACACCACGGTGCCAGCACAGACGGCCGCCACGGCCCGATCCTCGCCCTCAACCTGCACCTGCTTGATGACCTTGAGCCCCGCGGCGATGAGGAGGAGGATGAGGCTCGCCCAGATCGAATTGCGGCTCCCGTTGCGCATGTTGTGCAACCTCGCCGTGAACAAATCCACCTCCATTGACAGCGCCAATCGCATCCGCGAGGCTGTTTCCGCAGGCAGGTGGACCTGCTCACAGATCGACTGGTCTTTGCTCTTGACCAGGCGCGAGTAGTGCCCGAACAGCAGCCCAAAGACGGTCGCATAGGCGCTGGCCGAGCACGCCAAGAGTAGGCAGATGAGTTGGGCAGCCGATGTGTTCTTCTGATACTCCCACCACTCCTCCTCGGTGGCGGCAGAGAGGTCCGCGTCGGCCGACTGCAAGATGCAGTCGATCGAGATGGAGAGGACGATCGCGCTGATGAGGGTCAGCGACTCTGCCGACTCGCCCAGCGCCTCGATTCGCTCGACGCCGATCCTCGGAGGGATCTTCAAGGGATCGGTGGTGTAAGGGGAGAAGCAGCAGTGTGCCCAGTGGTTGGCACAGCAGCCGGGCTGTTCCTGCTCCCATCCGATTCTGCCCGTCCGCTCTGTGACCTCCTCGCTGGACGTTGAATTTGTCGGTCGGCGCGACGGGCTGCGAGAGGAGCCGGACCGGAGGCGCGGGCTGGATTTTCCGGGCCGGTCGTGCAGCACGCTCGCGAAGCTCACCGCCTTTTGCGGGCGCTGGGTCGCGCCGCTGCCGCCGCTGTCGACGCCACGGCCAGCACTGCTCGTCACGTTGCTACCGCCGCACTTCGGAGAGAAGGTGGCGGTGCGGTGCAGGTCAATGAACCGCGACGGCATCGGAGAGGGGCTCTGCGCGGGCAAGGACAGCAGTCCCTTGGTGGCAGGCCTTCTCTCCTGAACAGCCAGGCAAGGACAGCAGCCTTTGGTGCTTGGAGCAAGGCGGTGGATTGCAAAAAGAATTACGGCCCAGATTGCTGCAATACACACATGGCAGCCATCCTTAGTAGGGATGGCTGGAAGCGCGCTGCTGCAGCCGTACCGCCCTCCCCGGGGGCGGGGCGAGCCCTGATGCATGCATGGCTGAGCTGGCCCACACCGCAGCCATTTTGGGCAAGCCCCGCCATTGCAGCCATCGATGCCTGGAGCACAGAGATTTCAGCCATCTGCTATGGCTGGAGCACAGAGATTCATCTTCCACACACAGACCCCCTACCGGCAAGGAGCCCGAACCCAGCAACCAGCTGCCCCGACCCTGCCGCTATAGGGTGCCGGCGGTTGTCCCTATCCCAACCCATGCTCGAGGCGAGCGACGACTGGTGGCGGGAACTGGCGAATGAGTACGAGGGCGGCGACCTCTCCTCGGGCGGCAGTGCGATCGACGAGCCTCACAGCCTGCACAGGCGGCCGCCTCGTAAGCGGCAGTGCGCCGCTCCAGGCTCGCCCTCCGACGCCACGTCCACGGTGGCGCTGCCTCCGCGGCGTGCTGTCGGTGGCGGCGGCGGCGCCATCGACGGCCTCGTCGAGCGGCTGGAGCGGCTGATGGTAGTGTCCGCGGGAGGCGCCCTCGGCGAGCCTGCGGATGGCGGTGGCGAGGCGCGGCTTGTGGCGGCGCTCGAGACTGTGTCGGCCAAGGCGGAGGACCGGATCGCGGCGGCCGAAGAGGCGGCGGCCAACGCGCGCGACGAGGTGAGCCGGCTGACGCTGCAGCTGCAGGCGGCCCCCTCGGCCGAGGCACTGGCGCGGCAGGCGCGGGAGCCACTTCCGAGACACTTCTGAGACACTTCCGAGACACTTCCGAGACACTTCCCTGCCCCGCGCCTCGCGGGTCCCTCTGGCTCCCTGCGCCGCCCTCGCGGTGGCCAGCCCGCGCCTCGCGCCGGCAGGCGGAGAACGCGCGCGAGCAGCGCGCAGCGCGCGTGGACGCGGAGGCAAAGCTGAAGCTCTGCCGCCGCCGGATCGAGGCGCTGGAGCGCGAGGTGGCGCAGCCGCACGCCGCCGCGGACCTGGCGTCGAGAGGCGGCGCGCGGTATGCGCAGCCCGTCCGGCGCGCCCCGTCGCCGCGTCGGCCTAGCGGCAGCGGCGCCTCCGCCTTCGCTCCGCACGCCGCCGCCTCCGCCTCCGCCTCCGCCTCCTCCGCCTCCGCCTCCGCCGCCTCGGCACCGCCGGCCGGCCGTGCGACCTCCGCCGCTCTCGAGGGAGGCGCGCCGCAGGAGTGGGGCCGGCAGCACGGCGCGTCGGAAGCAGGGGGGGACGCTGCGGCGGACATCGCTGCAGGTGCACGCCTCACCGCCTCGCCTCGCCTCACCGCCTCACCTCGCCTCACCGCCTCACCTCGCCTCACCGCCTCGCCTCGCCTCGCCTCACCGCCCGCCTCTCGTCCACCGCCTTCCTCCCTCTCCGCTTCCTCCCTCTCCTCCCTCTCTCTCACCCTCTCCCGCCCTCTCTCCTCGCGTCCGCGCCTCTCCTCATGCCGCCTCTCCTCCCCGCGGCGCCTCCTCCCCGCGGCACCTCCTCCAGCTGACCTCCTCCCCGCGGCACCTCCCCGCGGCGCCTCCTCCCCGCGGCTTGAGGCTTGACCCGAGGCTAGGCGTCGCTGCGTCGCGTGGCGATGGAGAGGAGGCGGCGGCGGAGTTGGTGTGCTAGCGCGCCTCTCCAGGAGCCTGCCATGCACCTCCTCTGGGACCCTTCTCTGGGACCCTTCTCTGGGGCTCTCTCCCTGTAGGCGGCGGCGGAGTACGTGCTGGCGCACTTGCGCAAAGAGCTCGGGGCGACCACTCTCCCCGAGGTGCTTCACTTTGGTCAAGCTCGGTCAAGCTCGGCCAATCTCGGTCGATCTCGGTGTCATCTCGGCCGCCCTCCCCTCCTCAGGTGCTCAGCCGAGTCCACGAGCTCGGCGAGGTGCTCCGCCATAGATCGCGGCTCTCGTGCCTTGCACACACCCCCGCCGCTCGAGACGCAAGGGAGGCGGTGCCGCCACCCCGCACTCACACCCTCAGCCTCACCACACGCCCTCAGGCGCTCCGCCGCTCCGTCGCGCTGCTCGCGCAGCTGCGAGTTGCCCTCGACTTGCCGCACGACGCGACGGTTAGGGGTAGGGGTAGGGGTAGGGGTAGGGGTAGGGGTAGGGGTAGCAGTCGACTTGCCGCACGACGCGACGGCGCCCCCTCTCCCTCCGCCTCCCGCCCCCTCCCTCTCCCTTGTCCTCCTCCCTCCTCCTCCTCTCCCACTATGGCCCCGTCCTCGCCGAGTCCACAGGCGCAGGAGTGCGTCGCTGCGGCCGGCGAGGCGAGCTCGGCGAGCAAGTCTGCGGCGGTGGCGGGGCGGCTGCTCGAGCCGGGCGCTGTGAAGAGACGCCGTTCACACCTACGCCGTGAGTAGGTGATGGAGCGGCTGCTCTGCACCCTCCTCCGCGGCGACTCGCCCGGAGGCGCCCCTGCCCTCTTGCCGCCCTCTTGCCCCCCACCCACCCCACACCACCACCACCACCACCACCACTTCCGCCTCGACACACCCTCGCAGGCCGTACGCAGCCCGCACTCCAACCCGCAAGGCCAGCCCCATCACGCGCGCACTTTCCATGCCCACCGACCCTGCACAGGTGCCGTCGCCATCCCTCCGGCCCTCGCTTGCGCCGACCCTCCGCCAACGGGCGCGGCTCTGCGGGAGGACGGGTGGGGCTCCCCGGCCCTCTCGTCGTCTGTAAGGGCTCGCCAGTAGGCTGGGCCATCCCTTGCCCCACCACTCTCAGCGTGTGTGGGGGGAGACACCTTCACTGCCTCACTTTGTCTAGGGGGGGGGGCGGGGTCCATATGCTGTCATGCGCACATGGTGCTTAAGGTTAAGCACACGCCGCATGAATGTATGTGGCACGCATGCAGAGATAGGAGCTGTCGCGCAGCACGCAGGGGATGGCGTTGCGGGTCCCGGGGATAGTATCGCCACCTCGCTCCTCGGTCCTCGCGTACCTGCCGCGCAGTGTTTGTGCGCATAATATGTTCTAACTTTTGAAAAGTGAGTGAAAATGTACTATGTATGTACACAAAGACTCAGTCCAGTGCGCCCGCGAACGTGGAACGAGTCGACCTAGCGAGAGCATCGGCGCACGCTGAAGAAATACGTCTCACCGTACACCGATTACACATGGACACGCATGTGCATGTGCATGTGCATGTGTCTCTCTCCCCTCTCATTCCTGACTCTATGTCCGCTCTATCTATCCATCTCCTTCCGACACCGCCTGCAGGACCGAGTAGGTCGGGGCTCCCACCGGGCGATGCCTCTCGTCCGGCCAGAAGCGCACGCCACTGAAGCTCGCCACGAGTACCACCCGCGAGCCGCGCTGCACAGGGAGCCCAGCGTGCAGCACGTCGCCGGAGAAGAGCAGCGCAGTCCCTCTCGCTGGGCGCAGCACCGCCGTCGCCGGCTCCGCCGCCCGCCGCATCACCTCCTCCTCCTCCTCCTCCCAGCCCTCCTCCTCCCCGTCGGCGGCCTCCTCTCCCCCGCCGCGCCCCGTCGCCTCCTCGCGAGCCCAGAACCCCGTGCCGCCGCCGCCGTGCCCCGCGGAGAGCGGGACGAGCACCGTCAGGCCCTGCTGGTCGCAGTGCGGGTGGAAAGCGCCGCCCTCGCTGTACACGTTCACGGCCGGCTCCCGCTCGGCAAACTCGAGCTCGCCCGCGTCGAGCAGCGCGCTGACGCGTGCGGTGCCAAACTGCGAGACGGACACGGGGGCGAGCGCCTGGTCCACCGCAAATAGCGCGCGCCGCAGAATGCGCGCGCACAGCTCGTCCGCCTCCGCGGGCAGCGCCGTCAGCGGCGCGTCGGCGGCAGGCTCCCACTCGAAGGCCAGCTCGGAGGAAGAGGCGAGCTGGGCGGCCGCGATGCTGGGCAGCCGCACCAGGCTCTGACCGCCGTGGAGCGACGCCGCGCATGCCCTCACCACGGCCTCGCACTCGGCCGGAGCTCCGACGCCAGGCAGCAGGAGGACCGAGTCGCCGCGGGAGAGGGCTGCTGCCGCGGAGCGAGGCGACGAGCCACCGACGGGTGCGCCGGTGCGGATGGAGACCTCCGTCCAGCCTCCATCCGTCCAGCCCTCCGCAAACCTCGCTGACCTCGACTCGTCTCCGGGCGACCGCCGCGGCTCGGTGTCGCACGACGCGCCGCCCTGTCTGCAGCCCCCTCCGCCGACGCCGGGAGTCGGCCCCGCCGCCGCCCCGGCCGCCGTCTCCGCCGTCGGCTGCTCCGCCCGCCGCCAGTAGCGCGGCCGCCTGTCCGCCTCCGCGGCTGCCAGCTGCCTTCCTACCAAGGCGCGCAAGCCCCGCTCCATGGCGGCGGCCGCCTCCTCCGCCGCCGATGTGGGCTCGACCAGCCGCAGGGCCCTCGCGCACGCCTCGAGGGTGGAGACGCAGTGCCGCTCAGGCTCGCGCCTCACCGCGGCGATGATTGGCTGCGCGGGGCGCTCAAACATGACGAGCGTGCACGCCGCGGCGAGGCTGGGGGAGTGGCGCATCATCGCCCGCGCCTGGCTCCACGTGCCGTCGATCAGCACAAGCAGCTTGCGCCGCCTCTCCCGACTCCTCCGTGTGGCGGAGCTCTGCTTTGACGAGGCACGAGGCTGTGGCCAGCCAGCGGCCGCGTCCAACGGCACCGCTCCCTCGCCCGGAAAAAGCAGCAGCGGCTCGTACCCCTCGCGGATCGATCGCTGCAGCGGCTCGAGGCCCTCGGCCGTGAAGCAGCTTCCCGCCTCAAACGGCATCGGCGCCTGCACGACCTCAGCTTCGCGCAGGCATAGCGGTATGAGCGGCACGGAACACATTGCCTTTCTTGACTCGCGGGGGTGCTGCAGGATCAACACACGCGTCTGGACCGCGATCGGGGCCGGAGGCAGCTCAGCACAGACGCAGTGCTGACGCGCCGGCCTTCGGCAGCGCCTGCAGACGGAGCGAGGGTGCTCGACGTGGCTGCGAGAGACGCGGGACGGGTGCACCACGGCGAGCAGCAGCGCGGAGGCTGTGAGCGCGGCCATTTTTTTTCGGCCAATGTCGAGAGGCAACCACAGCTAACAGCGGCGCCTGCCCCAGTGCCAGTGGCAGAGCTCTCCTCCGCTCAACAGCTGGAACAGCTCGCGCCCCCGGGGCCGAAGATTGAAGAAATCGTGCCACCAAGTGCTCCGTCGTCGCATCATCCGGTGGCGGCGTCGCAGGACGAGGCAGAAGAGAACAACGCGACAGAGGAGGAAGTGACAAGGGAGAGAACGACGAGGGTGGGACGACCGCGAGGTGGCATGAAGGTTGCAGCGAGAATCGGCGAGAGACTGCGAAGAGAGATAGGAAGAGGCAGACTCCCTAGGGTGGGCGACGGATAGCGCACCACACACCTCTCCTTAAAATCCCTGTGTGGTGGCGGCGTGCCGTCCTCCCACCATCCCTCCCTTGGGTTCTCTGTTTTCTTTCTTTCTTTCTTTTCGCATCATCCCTTTCTGTGTGTGTGTGTGTGCACCCAGGAGGGGAGGGTGCATGCGTAACGACGCTGCTAGAGATGCCTTTCGGGGCCCAGAGATAAAACTTCTGATGCCATGCGTGACCTAGTAGTGTCCCCAGCTATGGGCGTGTCCATGTTGGAGCCAGGTGTGGTGTGGACGCGAGAATAGCTCCGCCGTTCATGGAGGCAACCGATGCGAGTCGACTGGTGTGTGTCGTCGTGGTTTCGTATCAAGAATACTCACTCACTCATCCCTTTCTTTGTTTTTCAACACACCTGAAGCGTTCGGGTGCCCCCCCCCCCCCCCCCCCCTCGGCTCTCGACCCAGGAGCGAGAACGCCCAGGCATCACGCCTCTACCGCCTCTACCTCTTCTGGTAGCCAAACTCGCTAAACATCGGCGCGTCCACCCGGTTGATGATGGCGACGATCTCGTCGGTGAGTGTCATGTTCGGCGGCGTCACGGTGCGCCCGCCGACCGCCTCGTTGAGCCGTGGCAACGCCACGCGCGGCAAGCCAAAGTCGGTCACCATGGCAATCCAGTCGTCGGTGAGCGTCTCGGTGTGCAGCAACCGGTCGTATCGGCACGGATCGCCACACGCGCGGTGCAGCCGCCCCGACTGGCTGATTGGCCAGCGGTCGGGGGACTGGACCCGAGGCCCATCCCACGCGCAACAGCCGGTCGCCTCCACCCAGCGCATAAAGTGGAGGAAGCTGCGGAGCGGGCCTGCGCGCCGTTGCTCCGTACCCATCCCGCCGTACTTGCCCAGCCACCACGTGAGGAAGGCGGCGTCCCCGATCCACGAGTAGCTGAAGACGGACTGCCAGTACTTGTACGGCTCTCGCACCGTCACGACAATCGCGACGGGGACGTTGCATTTCGCGGCGCAGCCGGTCACGGCGCCGACGCTGGTGTGGCCCATGTTGGTCCAGAAGCCCTGCGCCTCCCAGCCCTGCGAGGCGCACTCGATCGAAGAGCCGCCCGACTTCTCGATGTGCGCAAAGACCACGTGCTTGGTTGCCCCGGGTGCGAGCCGGCACTCCCTTGTGCAGCACCAGTTGGCGCAATAGTGATCCACGCAGAAGCGGCCTCCCCCGGCTTGCGTGACTGTGTGGTACCTGGGGTGCGTCCAGCCGTCGAAGCGCACGTCGTAGTTTGGCTGGCAGCACTGGTATGTTCCCTCCCAGTTGTCGCCGCACCGCTCCTGCACCCGCTTTGGTGAGAAGCCGTCCCTGCAGGTGGCAGCCTCGTTGAAGATTAGAGGGGCGCAGCAGTCGTTGCCGACGCTGGAGCACTTGCTGGCGTCGTGATGGCAGGCGGGCGGCGGAGGCGGAGGCGGAGGCGGCGGTGGAGGCGGCGGCGGTGGCGGGGTCGGTGGGGGCGAGGAGGGTGGAGGTGCCGGCGACAGCAGCGGCGGCAGCGGCGGTGGGGCCGATGGGTGCAGAAGCGGGGCAGGCAGCGGCAGCGGCGTGACCGCTCTTGGGCCAGGGGTGGCCGCCGTGTATATCCGGTGGGCCACCAGCGTGAACGAGACGCCCGCCAGGAACAGGAAGGCGCAGACGCAGCAAAAGAGCGGTACAGAGCGCCTCATCTCAGCAGCACTCATCTCAGCAGAGGACGCTGTGGGAGGGCAAGACGGGGCAGAGCCCATCTCCACGGCCTCTTGCATCTGTCGATAGCCGCGATGCTTGTGGAGCGGCCGGTCTGCGTTGGAGGCCTCGACGGGTGCGGCAACGGACGTGGCAACGCTCGCATCCGGCGGCTGGTCGGCTTGTTGGATGGTGCGCGCAAGATCACGCGCCGAGGCCCTGCGGTCGACCGCGACGCGGCGCGCAAGCTCGTCCAGCATGGTTGAGGGGGGCGGGCGCGTATAGCGTCGGTGGGTGTGGCGTGCGACTGCGGCCGAAGTGCCCGCCGCCGTCCGGCGCGTTCTTTTCTTTTTTCGGTTATTCCGAACATTGTGGTTTATTCCGAACCGGTGGGGCGCATCGCAAGTGCTCGTCTGTTAACTTTACTAGAACATTATTTTGTAGTTTTCACGGGTTACCTGTGTTAGAGTGTTAGTGCCAGTGCGCGCTAGGCCCGGGCCTAGTGTCGTGACAGCTTGCTCGTTTCTTTGAATTCTTTCACTCGAAGTGTGCCGGTGTGTGTACCAGTCCGCGCCAGTTCGCGCCACTGTCGTGCCAGTGTGCTGTGTGGGGTACGGTACTGAGGCGAGAGAGAGAGAGAGAGAGAGAGAGACAAGAGAGAGAGAGAGACTGTCTCTCTCTCTCTCTCTCTCTCTCGGTACTGAGGCGCCAAACTTTCTTACCCTCGTGCGACCGCCGGTAAAAATTCTTACCCTCGACGCGCGTCCAGGGCACAAGCTCAAGCTGGCACAAGCTCTACAAGCTCAAGCACCGCCCGGGCCGCGAAATCGCACAGTGACAGTTCATCCACCAGGACTCGGGCCCCGCTCCGCCGCCGTTCATGATTCTCCTGCCCCTGCTCCTCGCCCTGCCTCCGCTCGGCCTTCGTCGCCCCGCGCCGCTGGCGCGGCGGTGCGCGCCTCCGGTCGCGGCAGAGGCGCTCGTGCCCCGGAACCGCGTCGCCTGCTACGGCTGCGGCGCAGAGCTGCAGGCCGACGTGGCTGGTTCGCCCGGCTACATGGAGCCAGAGCGGTACAAGATGAAGCGCAAGCGCCGCCAGCTCCGCGAGTCGCTCTGCGACCGGTGCCGCCGCCTGAGCTCGGGCGAGATCCTGCCAGCCGTTGTCGAGGGTCGGCTCAAGCGGCCGTCGGGCGCGGCGGTCGGCGAGGAGGGGAGAGGGATCACGACACCCGAGGCGCTGCGCGGCGTCCTCCTCCCGCTGCGCGAGCGGCCTGCCCTCATCGCTCTCCTCGTCGACTTGACAGACGTGGCTGGCACACGCTGGTAGATGCGGAGCTCTGACTGCAGTGCTCACTTGGAGGCCGCGGTGCCGCTTGGATGCTCCCCACGCCCTGCGCCTCCGCCATCGCCTGCAGGCACGCTGCTCCCGCGCGTGCGCGAGCTCGTGGGCGGAAACCCGATCTTGCTGATCGGCGCGAGGAGACATGCCCGCCGCTGCCGCGGCTCGAACCTTCCCGGAACCCCTCCGGAGCCTTCCCCTAGGCACGAAGCTCGACCTGCTGCCGCGCGGTACGGAGCCTGAGCGGGTGGCGGACTGGCTCAGCGGCGCGGCGCGCAAGATCGGCGGCGTCGTCGACGTGCACCTCGTCTCGTCTAAGTCGGGCGACGGGCTGCAGGCCCGCGCGCAGAGACGGGCGGACGGCGACGCACCAGCCGACAGAGACACACCAGCCGGCCGCCGCCACACAGCCTGCCGCCACGACCCGCACGCGAGCGACCCTGCCCTCCTTGGCTTGCGCGGCCTCACCCCTCCCTCCGGCAGGCGGCGGCCCGCGCACTCCTCGCCGAGCGGCGCGGCAGGGACCTCTTCCTTCTCGGCGCGAGATCGAGCCGAGATCGAGCCGAGATCGAGCCGAGATCGCAGCCGAGATCGAGCCGAGATCGCAGCCCCGCCAGCGCACTGAGCGGACCTCTGCCGCCAGGCGCCGCCAACGTCGGCAAGTCGGCCTTCCTCCAGAGCACCCCCGGCCCTAGATGCCGCACGCCTGCCTCGGCACGCCTGCCTCGGCCTCACAGCTCTCGGTGTGCCTTCGGAGGCTGCCAGCCTTCGGAGGCAGCCACGCCGGCGCTCGATTGCGCCGTGCTCTTGCCGCGCGGACACTGAGCCACCGCTCCCACGCGAGCTCGCAAACAGCTCTGGCCGCGTCGAGGCGACAGCCGCCCCCTATGGCGCTCCTCACCCTCCCGCGCCTCTCGCCTCGCCCGCCGCAGGCCTGCTGCCGCTCGTCTCGCCCGCCACGCCGCGCCACCTCCCGCTCTCCGCGTCGACGCCGGGCACCACCCTCTCCCTCCTCCCGATCGACTGCTTTAGCGGCGGGTCGCAGCTCTACGACACGCCCGGCGCGCGCAACCCCCTCCCTCCCCCGCTCCTCCATCTCCGCCTCCCTCCCCTCCCCTACCCTAGCTGACACGGCCGCGGCACGTGCAGGCGTGCACCTGCACCACCGCATGTCTGCCCGCCTCCTGCCCGCCGAGCTGGCGATGACGATGCCGCGCGGGCGGATGAGGCCGTACACGCCCCGCGAGGCTGCGGCGGAGGGCGAGAGCTAGCCGAGATCACGCCGAGATTTGAGATCGCGCCGACGGCGGCGGAGGGCGGCCCCTCCTCGGCTGTCGGTGGGCAGCGTGGGCAGCGTGGGCACACCGACGAGTGGCTTGGCAGGCACCTCCTTCTTCTGGGGCGGTCTCGCGCGCATCGACGTCGTCTCCGCGCCGCCCGCGCTGCGGCTCACCTTTTGCACCGGCGGCTCGCGGCTGAGGCTGCACGAGTGCCCGACGGCCGAGGCGGCCGAGGCGCACGCGGCGAGGGCGGGCATCGAGTGGACCCCTCCGCAGGACGCCGCTTCGGCGGCGGAGCTGGGGGAGCTGCAGCTGGCGCGGACGGCCCGGCTGCGCCTCACGCCGTGCGAGCAGGCGGCCGACCTCGCAATCTCGGGGCTGGGGTGGGTCTCGGTCGGATGCCTGCCGACCCTGCAGCAGGGGGCGCTCGAGGCGACCCTCGCCGTGTGGGTGCCTCGCGGCGTGGAGGTCTTCGTGCGCCCGCCGATGCCCGTGGGTGGGCTGCCCACTGTCGGGAGCGAGGCGTGACGCGGGTGTGATGGGGTGGTAGGAGCAGGGGTGGCTCTGTGACTCCGCCGCACGAACTCAAACTAATCGCGCGCGCGCAACCCCCGACCGCCCGGGCACAGCGTTTTAGAAGACCTGAAGTCTCTTGCCCCCGCCTCCGCTCAGGGTCGAGTCAGCCATACACGGCCTCGGTGGGCCACCCTCACGACTCCACGACACACGACACCCTCGCGACTCCACGACACACACACTATGACACTCGTTTGAGATGTAAGTAAAGTCACACACGCCTCGCCGCCTCGGCCGCCACCGCGCTCCCGAATCGCACCACCGCCATCCACGCACGCTCGAGCAGAGACTCGTGCGCGCCGGCTCGCCGGGCGGCATCCTCCTTGTGATGCACCTGGAGGAGGGCAGGGCGGGACGATCAGAGGTCGTTGTCCTCGCGCTCTACGTAGCGCTCATTTCCGGCGCGCGCCTCGTCGGCGCAGCAGTGCTCGAGCAGCGCCACCAGCTGCGGGCAGCGGCCGTGCACCTTCAGCGGCCCGATCTGCTCGCCGTAGTGCTCTTCGACAAACGTCTCGACTGCCTCGACCGTCTTGAAGAGCGCGCGGTCCGAGACGAGCGCGGGAGCAAACCCGAGGGCAAAGCCTGCCGCACGCCACATCGGCAGCAGCCGCGTGTGCTTGTGTGGAGGGAGGAGGCACTCGATCAGCTCGAGGTGCCGCCTCTCTGCCGCCCGGTGCTCATCAACGAAACGCAGCGTCTCGGCGGATGCGGTGCCTCGGAGCGACAGGGCCGCCGCGGCGCCGTCGTAGATGCAGACGGCGCCGGTCTCGCCCGCCATGTTGCTAGACATCTCGCGATCGAGCCAGTGCCACGGTGCCGACGCGTCGTCCCACCGGCACTCGCTGCCCGCCGAGTGCTCGTGCTCCACCGCCAGCTCGGACCGGATGGCGGCCAGGTCAAACTCGGGCGCCGGCGTGTGATCAGCAGAGAGCGTCGAGAGGCGGCGCGAGGTGTTGAAGGCCTCGAGCGGAGGTGCCGAGAGGCGGCGCGGGAGCCGCCGGCAGGCAAGCGACGCGCGTAGTGGCAACATGGGAGGCAGCGGCCGCCGGACGAACCAAAAAAATGGACGCGCAGTCGCACGTCTCGCGGTCAGCGATCGCCGCCGGCGCGACTGGGGCGGTCGCCGAGAGAGAGCCTTTGCCGCGAGAAAGAAGAAACTTTGCGCCATGTAACGGTCACGTCAGTTAGGGCGCTTGGGGAACTCCCTGGCGAGTAGAGGCCCCGCCCACCCAGGGTACCCCTCTCGAGGGACCCATTGGTTCTTTCGAGGACTCGCCGGGGCTCTGCTCCAAGAAACCTCGAGAGAGCGTGCGTGTGCCTCTACTCGCCAGGGGAAGGTAGGTAGGTAGGTAGAAAGGTGAAGAACAGCCAGGCTCGGACTGGACACCAACGCGGTATGGGTGGACGCTGGACAGATGATGACGACACGCACGAGCGACACACAGACACAAACAGGCTCACAAGACACACAGCCAGCTGGCTGCCACACACCCTGAGTCGGCGTACACATAACTCAGGGCCACATCCTCCCTGTCGCCCCCCCCAGCACTCCACGGTGCCAAGGGCACAAACAAGGGCACAACTCAAACAACAGACGACAGGAAGTGACATGTGTGTGAGGCTAGAGCAGCTTGCTCCACCTCTAGCAATCTCACCGGCCTGCTAGGCACAGACGAGACCGTATGTGGGGTCTAGTGAGGTGTCTATGGACGCTCTCCTCATGGGCTAGCAGGGGAACTCCGGCGAGGCTTGGTGAAAAAAGAAACACGGCTCGCCTGCCGTTGGCAGGGCTCTCCCGAGACCAAGCAGAGCAACCGCCACCGCCACCGGCCCCGCTCTCCCGAGACCACATGTTCTCCCGCCCCGCCCGAGGGGCTCGGGTCGACCTGCGGCGGGTCTCCACGCTCGACCTCGAGCGGGTCGCCCGCACGGTCGACATCGATGCGCTCGAGGAGCAGCTGGACGCCGTCCTGAGCTCCAAGCTATCGGAGGGCGAGCTGCGCCGGCTCGGCGGCGCCGGCTCGACTCAGCTCTTCCGTCTGATGCAGATGCTGGTCGAGTACCTACTTCACGTCCAGCAGACGCTCTACAGCCGCGGGATGGAGCTCGAGCACGCTGCGCAGGTCACATCGTCGCAGCTGCTCGAGCAGGATAGTCTTCGGATCAAGACTGGCCGCCCTCTCAGATCAAGCACGTTTCACAGCTCACCCCACAAGCAGGCGCACTACGCGGGCGCGCTGGAGGCGCGGCTCAAGGGCGCGGCGCCAGTGCCGTTCCCGGGCTCGCACGCCGCGGAGGAGCCGCCGCCCGGCGCGTCCGGCCCGGCGCAGTGCCACATCTGCTTCAAGCTCTTTTCGTCGGCTGACTACCTCGCGGCGCACTACCGGCGGCGGCACGAGGCTCACTTTGGGCAGGCGATGGCGCAGCCGGAGCCGGAGGCGGCGGCGGGGGAGGTTTGCGCGGCTGCCCACGGGGCGGGCGCCGCCTCACCCCGCCTCGCCGAGCGCCTCTCTGCCGAGCTCGCAGCAGCGATGGCGCCGGCCGGGGGCGGCTGCGCGGCCGGAGGCTTCGTGGCCGCGGCCGCCCCGCCGGTGGTGGTCCCGCCGCTTGAGGCGCACGCGGCGGGCGCGTCCGCCGCCGCCGCCGCCGCCGCCGCCGCCGCCGCCGCCACCGCCGCCCTTCCCGGATCGAGCGGCGGGTTGGTCTCTGATCCCGCTGCGGCTGCTGCCGCTGAGGTGCGACCTTCGACGCCCCCGCAGTTGCGCCCGGTCTCCCTGTGACACGGCCTCGATGACGCGTCCCCGATCCGTGCTTCTGCAGGCGCGGCTTGCGGCCCTCGCCGCGAGGCTCGACAGCGAGCTCCGCGCGACGGCGGAGGAGGTCGGGGTCGTCGGGAGGGAGGCTGCGGCGGCGAGGGAGTCGGCCAGCGCCGCGGGTGCATTTGCAGAGTCGCAGGTGAGCTCGCTCCCGGGGACACCCGAGAGGACCCGAGAGGACCCGAGATGGCCCGGCGGTCGCAGGTGAGCGGCTTGGCGCGCCAGCTGGACGAGAGCCTTCGCTCGCAGGTCGAGCAGGTGCGGCCGAGATTCAGCCGCGAATAGTGAGGGCAGCCGAGGTGCAGCCGAGGTGCAGCCGAGGTGCAGCCGAGGTGCAGCCGGGGTGCAGCCAGGTGCAGCCGAGGTGCAGCCGAGGTGCAGCCGGGGTGCAGCCGGGGTGCAGGCGTGGTGTAGAGGCCGAGTGTGCGGCCGGGTCGCGGAAGCCATTGGGCCAGTTGTCTCACGTGCTGGTGCTTCACTCTGCTGGTGCTTCACTCTGCTAGTGCTTCACTCTGCAGGTGCGGCAGGCTGCGGACGAGGCCGCCGCCGCGCGGGTCGCCGAGGCGGCGGCGGTGGCGGCGGAGGAGGCTGCCGCCTCCCGGCGCGCGATCGAGGCGAAGGTGGAGGCGGCCGAGAGATTGCGGCGAGAGCACGAGGAGGAGGCGCGCGCCGTGCAGGAGGCGGCGGCCAGGGCTGCGTGCGACGCGCGCGAGGCGATCGAGGCGATGCGCGAGGTGATGGAGGAGCATCGCCGCGCGGCGAGCACGCAGCACGCCTTCGAGGAGCTCTCGCGGCCGAGGGGGGCAGGCAGCAGCAGCTCGGCAGCCTCGGGGGAGGGGGAGGGGCAGCCACCTCCACGCCCGTCCACGACGCGTCCCGCAGGAGGCAGCCGGCTCGGAGGCCTCGAGGAGGACGACGAGCCGACGGTCCCGCTCCACCAGGTCGAGCAGCTCGTCGACTCGCGGCTCGTCGAGCAGCGCGCGCACATGGCGGCGACGGCGGAGCGCGCCGCCGACGAGCGGGTGGGCGCCGCGACGGCGGAGGTGACGGCGTTGCGGTCCGATCTGGAGAGGCAGCAGGTGGCCGCCACCGCCACCATGCCCTCGCCACACACCCGCTCGCCACGCACCCTCGCCCCCGCCCCCCCCCCCCCCCCTCTCGCACATGGCTGCTTAAACCTCGGCTGGGCACCGCCAAGACGCTCTCCCGCGGACTCTTGCCGCCGACGCCCTCGCTTGCCCAGCGCTCGCCCTCCCGCCCCGCGCCTGCAGCTGGCCGCCGCCGCCGCCGCCGCCGAGCGGCAGCGAGCGCACGAGGCGACCGTGGCGGAGCTCTACTCGCGGATCGGAGAGCTGCGTGGGCCGGCCGCCGCGTCGGCGGGGGCCACCGGCCAGGCCGCTGCCACCGCGGCGGCCCCGGCCAGAGTTGCGTCGGAGCAGCACTTGGCGGTGCAGGAGAGCTTCGCCCGCGGCTCCCCCTCCCCCTCCTCTCTCTCTCGCTCTCACACACTCTCTCTCCGGCGCAGGAGGCGCGCACCGCGGCGGACGTGACGGCGCTGCGCGCGGCGATGCAGCAGCAGGAGCGAGAGAGCCAGCGGGCGAGCGCGGCGATGCTGGAGCGGATCGAGGAGCTGCGCCGCGAGCTCGAGGCGGCCAAGGGAGCGGCGCGGCAAGTCGCGGAGGAGGTGGCCACGGTGGCGGCCGAGAAGGCGGCGCGGGAGGGCGCCGCAGCGGCGGCCGAGAGGGCGGATGAGAGGGCCGCCGCTCAGGTGGTGCAGCCGGCCGTGAAGAGTGTGGATGTGGCCACCAGTCGGACGCCGGAGCGAGCGACCTCCCGCTCTCTTGCGCTTGGCGTGACCGGCCCCCGCAAGGATGTGGACGTGGAGTCTGAGCAGCGGCTCCGGGTAGTGGCGGCCGAGAGGGCAAGGGCGGAGGCTGCAGCAGCTGAGGCGGCGGCAGCTGAGGCGGCCAAGGCGACGGCGGAGAGGGCGCGAGTGGAGGCGAGCGCTGCTACCCGCGTGCAGGCGGTGAGCCGCGGCGTCTCGCTGCGCCGTGCGAGGAGCGTCGAGCTGGAGCAGCGGCAAGCGGAGGCGGCAGAGGAGGAGGCGCGCTTGGAGGCGGAGGCCGAGGCGGCGAGGGCGGAGGCGGCGAGGGCGGAGGCGGCGAGGGCGGAGGCGGCGAGGGTGGAGGAGGCGAGGGCGGAGGCGGCGCGGGTGGCAGCGGAGGAGGCGCGGCGCTTGGAGGCGGCCGAGGCAGCAAGGGCAGGGGCGGCGGCGGCAGCTGAGGCGGCCAAGGCGACGGCGGAGAGGGCGCGAGTGGAGGCGAGCGCTGCTACCCGCGTGCAGGCGGTGAGCCGCGGCGTCTCGCTGCGCCGTGCGAAGAGCGTCGAGCTGGAGCAGCGGCAAGCGGAGGCGGCAGAGGAGGAGGCGCGCTTGGAGGCGGAGGCCGAGGCGGCGAGGGCGGAGGCGGCGAGGGCGGAGGCGGCGAGGGCGGAGGAGGCGAGGGCGGAGGAGGCGCGGGTGGCAGCGGAGGAGGCGCGGCGCTTGGAGGCGGCCGAGGCAGCAAGGGCAGAGGCGGCGGCAGCTGAGGCGGCCAAGGCGACGGCGGAGAGGGCGCGAGTGGAGGCGAGCGCTGCTACCCGCGTGCAGGCGGTGAGCCGCGGCGTCTCGCTGCGCCGTGCGAGGAGCGTCGAGCTGGAGCAGCGGCAAGCGGAGGCGGCAGAGGAGGAGGCGCGCTTGGAGGCGGAGGCCGAGGCGGCGAGGGCGGAGGAGGCGAGGGCGGAGGCAGAGCGCTTGGAGGCCGAGGCAGAGGAGGCACGGCGTCTGGAGGCGGAGGTTGCGCAGCTGGCGGAAGAGGAGGAGGCGGAGCGGGCGGCGGCTGAGGCGGCAGCGCAACGTGCGGCGGCGGAGGCGGAGACGAGGCGGCGTCTGGAGGCACTCGCACGCGAGCAGGCGGCGACCCGCGTGCAGGCCGTGAGCCGCGGTGCTTCGCTGCGGCGAGGTCTTGGGCTGGAGGCGGCGCAGCGACAGGCAACGGAGCTTGAGGCGCAGCGGCGAGCGGCGGAGGTTGAGGCGCGGCGCTTGGAGGCGGAGGCGGAGGCGCGGCGGCTGGAGTCGGCGGCGGAGCGGGCTGGGGCTGGGGACGTGAAGGTCACTGCGCAGGCCGCGGCTGCGGAGCGCCGCAGGGCAGCGCGCGAGCTTGCGCGCGTCGACCGCTACGCGGACGACCCCCCCAGCCACGAGCCCGGCACGCTGCTGCCGTCCAATTGCGGCTTCGAGCACTCCAAGGCCGAGTGGGAGGAGGAGAGGGGAGAGACGTTTGCCCAGCTGGCGCAGGAGCTCGAGGAGTGGGACGCGGCCTCCAAGGTGCGCTTGAACGGCGTCGAGCTCTTCGATGTGATCGGAGACTGACCGAGGCCTGCCTAAGATTAGGTGCCCTTCACGGAGCTCGAGCTCGAGCGGCTCATCGAGGCCAAGCGGCGCGACGCCGAGCAGCAGTCCGTCTTTTCGAAGCAGGAGTGCGCCGCCGAGCGGCAAAGGGTGGAGCAGCGGCTGGCGGCTCTCGTCACCGCCAAGCTCAAGAGTGGTTTCCCGCTCACGCCCCGCCGCGCCTCCGCGCCGGACTTGCACCGCACGATGCCGCGCGTGCCGTCCAAGGGCTCGATCAAGCTCGCGGCAGGCGGCGGGCCGTCGGCCGAGGCGCCTCGTGCAGCAGAGGCGGCCTCGCCCGCGGGGCGCCCGCTGGCCGCTCTGGCCGGAGGCGCCCGCGCTAAGCCTCCGGCCTCCTCAGAGCCGGCTCCCGCCACAGCAGCAGCACCACCACCACCCCCTCCGCCCCCTCCGCCCCCTCCGCCCCCTCCGCCCCCTCCGCCGCACGCCGAGGAGCGCCGCCGCCCGCCCGCCCTCGAGCTGCAGCCAAGCGTCATCGAGTCGGACAGCGATTGTTCGATCGACACGCCGCCAAAGGCGACGCTCCTTGCGCGCCGCGCCGCCGCCGCGCGCGAGTCCCGCCTCGCGGACGTCGCACTGAGCGCAGACTCGCCGCCCGGCTCGCCCGGCGTGGACCGGGTAGAGGCGTTTGTCTTGGACAGCGACGACAGCGAATTTTAGCGCGATGGAGGGGTTGGGGGAATTGTGCTCTCAGTCAGAGCCATGTACGTCGTGGGCCCCATTTTGCATGTGAGCGCACGCTGACTCGTGCCTGTACCCTGTACGCCCTGCTGCGGCAGTGCCAGTGGCCACTGCGGGCCGGCCTCGGAGCTCGCTGCTCGGTCTCCCCACACTATACAAGACGAGAGAGTTGACAGTTGTTTCTAATTCTATATCTCTCTCTCGACTCCCGCCGGTCTGGCTCTCTCCGCGGAGTTGCTCTTACGTCTTGGTAACCAATGGTTTGGGTTGGTACATGGTAGTCAATAATGTACGGACCAATACAGTACGCCGGTAGCAGGTAGGCAGACAGAAGTACGTACATGTAAAATGGCGAACGAAAACCACGGCGATGCCGGGCCACCCTAAATCCCCATGTCGATGTCCCAACGTCTCGTACCACTCACACGGAAACAAGTGCTCTATGCCTCTATGTGCATGATCGACGGCGTGCAAGCACACGCTCCGCTGTTACGCGGACGCGCGTGCCGCAGCAATACGCGACCTGACTCTCTCGCTCGCTCTCTCCGTCTGTCTCTCTCTAGGCCTTCTTGGCGTGGATGTAGTACATGGGAGTGAAGGTGCCCATCTCGCCGCCCATGACGAGGCCGAGCTGCCCCTGCCGCAGCATCTCGCGCACCTGCGGTCCGGGCGGGGTGAGGAGCGTGCCGGCGAGGCGAGGGGCATGCCGACGAGGGGGTGAGGGGCGCGCCTTGCCCGAGCCGGCGGGCGCGAGGCGGAGCGCCTCGAGGCACGTCATGAAGACGTTGATGAAGAATGTGCCTGCCGCGCGGGGGGGGGGGGGTCCAGAGCGAAGGCGCGAGGCTCGAGGAAGACGTGGGCGCGAGGCGGCGCGCCGATGGCGGTGAACTGCAGCCGGAAGAGGTTGAAGAAGGAGGGCGTGAGGATGACGTACCACGCCTCGCCGCCCGGGTTCGGGTCGAGCGCCGCGTCTCGCGTCTCGACGACCTGGAAGCCAACCTTGGTGGGGGGGAGGAAGAGGGGGGTGGAAGGGGAGGAGAGGGGAGGCGTCTCGACGATCTGGACGCCAACCTTGACGAGCGAGTCGTCGCAGTGCGTCGTCGACATCATGTCGGGCAGCCCGTCCCCCTCCTCGATCAGCTTCTTGGAGAGCATGTGCTGCGCGTCGCCGTCGCGGTGCTTCTTGGTCAGGCACCTGCGGAGGAGGAGGAGGAGGAGGCGGTCGTCGATCTGGACCGCCTCTGCGCGCACCCGCGGGTCTCGGGACTCTCTCTCTCTCTCTCTCTCTCTCGGCCTCTCTCTCTCTCTCTCGGCCTCGCACCACTCGTACGAGACGAAGCAGCCGCCCGGCTTGAGCACGCGGTAGATCTCGCGGTAGACGTCCGCGCGATCAGGCGAGTGGCAGCAGGCCTGGGCAGGAGGCGGAGGGGTGGAGGGCGGCGGCAAGGCTGGCAGGGGGCGGCGAGGCGGCAGGGCTTCGGGCGGAGGCCGCCCTGCATACAGGCCACAAGCTTTGACTTGAGCACTTGAACACTTGATAGAGTCGATTCCCCATGGAACGGAACCCCTCGATCGACTCGCCCTCCCTCACTGGTGTGTTCATTGCGGCGTGGGTCCTATCAAACACGGGACCGGATCCAGGCTCACGCTGCAGAACCAGTGCCGTCCCCCCTCTCCCCGACGGCGATGGCGGTTCGACCCATCGAGCTACAAGAGGGACTTGTTCAGCAGGATCCCGGGTAGTCAGGCGCACTAACTCACTGGGCCCGAGATCCCCACCCGACGCCTCCCATCCCCGTCTCG